CTCTACAGGCTTGTCTACAGCCCGATTGTTTTGTTTTGTTTTTTTTTTCTCGAGACAGGGTTTCTCTGTGTAGTTTTGGTGCCTGTCCTGGATTTCACTCTGTAGACCAGGCTGGCCTCGAACTCACAGAGATCCACCTGCCTCTGCCTGCTGAGTGCTGGGATTAAAGGCGTGCGCCACCACCACCCAGCCCAGCCCAATCTTACGGAGGCATTTTCTCCATTGAGGCGCCCTCCTCTCTAGTGACTTCAGCTTGTGTTGAGTTGATATAAAAGTAGCTAGCACACTGCGTATTATAGAATTAGACACCTCAGTGTTTTTATATTTCGGGTCGTGAACCTAGCCTTTCATGGCTAGGCCATCTTTCTCGTCTGACTCGGCCATTTTTAAAGCAGAATCTCCAGTCCTTCCCGTCCTGTCTTTTAAACTGTGAGGAGGAAGATTTTCCTTTCTTTCCTTTCGAAAGAAGAGGAGCATACCTGGGTAATTCATTCAGTTTCTTTTTTCCTCTAACTCCTTACTTCTTTGAAGAGTATTTGTGTTAAGGTATCTTCACAAATACAAATTGTTTAATTACCAATGATAATATGGTCGAGTTGTTTAATCATCCATGCCAATATCATTGGTGCAGGTGGCAGGAAAAAATTCCTGCTCTTCATAGGAAAAGAAAAAAATGCAAGTGTAGGAGAATATTGTAAGTTGTGTTATTTTGTTGATGTTGCATTTGTTTAACTCTGTGAAGCTGTGTTGCTTTGCCTGTGTAAAACACCTGATGGTCTAATAAAGAACTGGCCAATAGCAAGGCAGGAGAAAGGACAGGTGGGGCTGGCAGGCAGAGAGAATATATAGAGGGAGAAATCTGGGAGGAGAGATCTAAGATCCAGCAGCCAGAGAAGGAGGAGGACTCCAGGGACCAGACACACAGCAAGCCACAGAGTAAGAGTAAGATTTATGGAAGTAAGAGAATGGGAAAAGTCCAGCGGAAAAAGGTAGACAGAGTAAGTTAAGGAAAGCTGGCTAGAAACTAAGCTAAGGCTGGGTGTTCATAAGAAAGAATAAGATTCTGTGTGTGATTTTGGGAGCTGGGTGGTAGGCCCCTCAAAAGAACAAAAAGCAAAAACAACATGTAATAGGTTGTGAAAACAGATTTTAAAGATCACTGATCAATATATAAGAGAGAATTAGGGAATGGAAAGATGGCTGAGTGGTTAAGAGCACTGGATGCTTTTACAGAAGACCTGGGTTTGATTCCCAGCAGCCAAACAGTGGCTCACAACCATCCTGAAACTCCAGCTCCAGATGATCCAATGCCTCTGGCCTGCAACAACACCCTCATGTGTATGCACATAAACACATACATCACACACACACAACTTAAAAATCTTTTTAAAAAATCATTAATTTCAACACAGCACCTTTTTTTTGGAGAGGGGAGGTTATTGACCAGAGCATGGTCAACGTCAGTGCCTACACCACTCAAGAAAATGACACCTCCTCTCCCGGCAATGAGTAGCTATCCAGGAGTCTCCCAGGGAATCCATTCTTCTCAGTAACTAAGAACACTCGCTTTTGCAGAGGACCTGAATTCAGTTCTCAGCACCCACATCTGGCAGCTCACAACTGTAACTCTGGCACCTGGGGATTTGATGCCTTCTTCTAGTCTCTGAGGGTACCTGCTCTCAGGTCTGTTATACACAGACATGTATAAATAATTAAAATAAATAAATGCATAGATGCAGAAATAAAAACCAATCTTTTTTTTTTTTTAAGAAAAAGATGCATGAAAAGCCTCCTGTCCCTAAGCTGCCCAAATGTTTGCAAAACTTACGTAAATAAATAATCATTAATTGGGTTATTGGTACTAGTGTGTATCAATGATGAGGTCACATAGCCCAAAGTGATGGAAAAAGGAGGTAAGTGTTCCCGGAAATACAAACACTGAGGGTTTTCATTGATCAGGAGTGGAGGGTGCCTGAGTGAGGCCTGATACAATTCTCAAAAATTTTTTTATGAGCAAAGGGAGAGTACTGTGAAGATTGACAGAGGCGTGAGTGCGAGGATCCAAGGGCCCACCCAGGCTTCAGCCTAAGGAAGGAGGGGCTGGCCACTGAAGGGTGGAGTTTGGGTGGCTCCTTATTTTGACTGACAGATTAGGTCATCTAGCACTTTTCCCACAATGCACCTGATTTTAGTCCTATGCACACCCAGTATGCAGTCACAGATGGTAAACAGGGTACTCTCCCCAAAGTTTACTAGAAGACATAGCTTTCTTTGCCTTACTGCAGAAGCTCCCCAAACCAGTTCAAGCCAGACTAGGCCTTCTAACGGTCATACTTTGGTATGTTGGGTCTACGCTTGGATACTAAATCTGATTGTTATCAGGAACAAGGAAGCTTACTCTTGTTCAGAGTAGAATGTTCAGCCCAAGGCAGGTGAGGTTCCAAGGGGGTACTGGGGTTTCGGGGTGTGATGTTTGGAGAAGGGTTTGTATGCACAGTACACACAGGGGAAGGAACTAGACTTGAATTCATCACTATAGGGGGATATGTGTAACCCCAAACCAAATACTAAACTGCCTCCTATGGTTGCCTGCCTAGAGGCCAGAGGTCAGCTCTGTGAAGTGGAGCTAGGCTGTCCAACAGAGAGTTAAAACTGCAGGAGACATTCACTCTCTCTCACACACACACACACACACACACACGTCAAGTCCGTCTTGAGAACCTGAAGATGTCCCTCAGTAAGGTAGGCTGAAGACATTTCTATGTAAAATGAGCCACAGCTTTGTCTTTAAAATTAGAATAGAACTTTATTTGTGGAATTGAGATTTGAAAATGATTTTATAGTTTATGCAATAGATTTTGATACATTAATCTGGATATACATTTACCATAAGAAAAAATTTAAAAACAAGGTCAAATAGCTTATCATCAAACCCAATTGTGTTTAACTTGATAATTGTAAGGAATAACTTGGGCGTTATAAATTAAAAGCTAAAACAAATGGCATTTGGGTTTGCATTATTAATGCAATTTAGTGTGTTTCATTTGTTTGGGGGGAAGAGAATTAGAGAAAATGGAGGCTAAAGGACTTTTCTAGAGAAGTCCACAGCCTCCACTTCGTGAAAGGGACTCCACAACTCCCCAGCAATAGGATGTCACTGAGACAGTCTCATGCAGACTGGCATGAGGGGCTGGGGGGAGGGGGGAGTGTGCCTGGACTCTAACACCAGGTTCTAGTGAAGTCACTGGACCATCCAGAGGGATACCGGCCTAATGAAAAGAAAGCTTGTGTTTCCTAAGCTCTGCTGTTGATGTTCTCAGAGGTGGCACCGAACAAGTGTGTACAAGTCTATCTCACAAGACAGTTTTACCCTTAGTTCATACAATGGGGACATTCCAAATAAGACACCAGCCCATGTTAGTGTTGCTTTGCCACTGTAGAGAAAGTGAACTGATGCTAAGATCCATACATGAATACAACATATGCCAGCACGGATTTGGGATCAGTGATAGCTTTTTATCCTCCCCTACTCTAGATCGCTGTTTTGGGGTGAACACACTCACCGGGAGGAAAGGCAGCTTGGGCACCTGACTCAGACTCTGGTGGCCAGCAGGAAAGCATTCCAGAACTTACCATGGCCTCAAAAGACAAAAGGGTGGGCATGGTTATTCAGTTATTCATACTTGACAGATAAAGTAACTGGAGCCCAGCAGTGCAGGTTCACACAGATGATCAACGATAAAATCAAGACTGCACAGATGGCTGGCCATGCCTGGCTGACTTGGTAAAGACACTTGGGAAGCAAGCATGCACTGGCATGGGGGTTACTTTCCCTGACCCACATGATGGTGTGGCCTATGGGAAGTGTGTTTGCTACTGTCACTGAAATCCCTACCAAGCACTGACAGGCACTTGTCTTGTTAGAGGCAACAAGCTAAAAGCAATGGCCCCATGTACTTCTGACAGCTCCACAGGGCGGTAATCTGCATGCAGGAGGGTTAGAAGACACTCTTACACTAATGTATGCAAGCACATTGAAAAGCAGACTTAAACTCTGTCACACCAATGAAAGGGTGAATAACAGGAGTCTGGGCACCCATGCTCTGCAGGCGGAGTGGGACCTCGCCTCCCTCTCCTTCTGCCTTCCCAGACTGCTCACTCCTACTTTTTCACTGTTTACAAAGTCATCTTCGTGTCTCTAAGTCCCTTGCGGATGAAGGAGGAGCTGATTTCACTGTTGACAGTTTTATCTCAGGCCCTGGCACATAGCTGGCACTGTCTACGTGTGTTGATTCATGCATGGGTTCTCTTCCTACACTTCAATGTGGTTCTCACCACCTGTAGCATTTGCCTCAGGGGTTTTTGACTTTTAATAAAACATAATTCTCATAGTAAACAGTATTTTTTAGAAAGCATAAGAAACCTGGTAACAAATTTATACAAATTATGCATTGAACTACTCTTTGGTTATTTTAAACAAATCCTTTTATACTAATGTGATACTAAAAATATAAAAATGCAACTACAGAAATTCGCTTAATCTGTAAACATAATGAACTCCGTAAACACGTATGTACTACGTGACTGCAAGCGTGAAGTGGCTGGTAAGGGCAAGTCATACATGTAACTCGGTTCTTCACGGCATGCTTAGAAACACTGCTTTGTGGAGCTTGATTTGTATTTGGAGGAATTCTAAATACACTAACACATAATAACTGTAGCCCGTGACTAAGCCTTGAGGATGCACAGGCAGAAGGGAGGCCTAATACTCACTACACATTGCAAATAAAGCTTGCTCCACTAGTCTTCTGAATCGCTGGAGATTCAAGCTGCATGCTAACAAATGTGAAATACATCCGAGTGAAGAGTAATACTTTTTTTTTTTTTTTTTTTGCAAGTGACTTAAGTGACTAAAAACAGTGACACATCTTCCAAAGTTGTCCCAAAGATCTAGGCAATAAGGTACACTAGGCAAGTTCTACAGAATAAGTAGCGACAAGTAACACTAAGTGTGTCGCAGTTTACTCAATATTGAAGACTATCTTTGTCCAAATTTCATCTCAAAAAAGCATCGAATTTTTCCACCAGATACTCATTACAGATATTTCACAGTTGGAATCTCAGTAGTTACAGAAAGATGTGCCTAGCAAGATGAGCTATGGTCAGAACTCAGGCACACAGGACTCGAATGTCCTGTCGCGTGAACCCTAACAGGACAAAGAACGGGACAAATGAACACTTCAGCATGGTGGTGGCGGAAACTACGGATACACTGCTCTCTGGTCTCTCTGGGAAGAGCCAGCAACTACCTTTTAGAAGTACTCTGGAAAATGTTAAGATGCAATTTTGCTTTTACTTAAAAACTATGGTGGTTGAGACACCCCAGCTTGTTCCTTCCTTATTATAATCTAATCAACCCCATCAAAGCCCTGCGTGTTCTCAATCGCCATCTGAAGTTTATCCGAAAGTTCTTCAAATGACTCATAGGGCGGCAGGTCCAGACGATTGAAGCTGAAAGGGTGGAGAGGATCTGGTTAGGACCACCACAGCGATGCAGGAAATGTCACCATAGTAACTGCAGTACCTACCATTGCTACTTGTCAGGAATATGTTCCATCACTGCTCTCAGAGGTCACAACAGGCAGGGAGGATTTCCTGATCCCAATGCAGTCTTGTATTCACACCTCCCCCTCCAGATAGGTGGGTTCCTTGACTGTGTTAGCCTCCAAGATGGAATGTTCTAGCACTTTTTCCATCACCCATGGAATGGGGGCAATATATATGGCTAACAGTTCAGATGGGCTTCTCTGTCCTTAACTATTTGGATTTTGAGTCCAAGCAGCATGGGTTTCTGGGTTTGTGTTTGTTTCTTCCTCTCTTCTAAGGCTGGCACACACCCATCCCAAGAGAGCATCCCAGGGGCTGCTCCTAGGCCAATGGGGGGAACTCTGCCCAGGTACTCACCAGGTATGCGCTCTTGGCAGCTTATCAGGGGTGCCCCACTGTTCAACTGTGAAGGACTGTGGTCCATTCGAGCCTATGGGAAAGATGAGTTTCTGTGGTTTAATATACTTTATCCACAAGATCCTAGACATTGCAAAAACACACTTTTCCTCTATACAGAACTTGCACACACAGAAGTCTGCTGTGCTTGGATTCACTGGTGAGTCGTAAAACAAACTGCCCGCCATTTCATTTGTGAGTGTGGAGCTGCTCTACCCCACTGGGGCCCAGCTGCAGCTAATCCTCACCCAGCTGCATCTTCAACTAGGATTTTCTTCACAGGTACACAAGAGGAAGTGAAGACTCTTGTTTCCATCGAAAAAATTTTTCCTCTCCTTTCTTAAATAACTTCACTGTAAAACTTGAAAAATAACAGGATAAAGTGGAACTGAAGAATGTAGGTCATGCATGTCCTAGCTGCTAAGTCTGGGGAGGGCTCTTTCTGTGGTTTCTTTTGTCTGTTAGGCCACAAAAGCACTTGACTACTGAGCCGGTCTCAGTCTTGAGCTTTAAAAAATATTTACTATTTTGTGTGTGTACCTTGGTGTACATATGCTAGGGGCGTATGTGGAGGACAGAGGACAACTTGTGAGAGTTCTCTCCACTTTGTGGGTTCTGGGGATTGAACTAAGGTCATCTAGCTTGGAGGCCAGTGCCTTGACTGCTGAGGCATCTCAGGGGTCCTGTTTTTTTAGCTTGTCTATTGTTCAAGACTGGGTCTCACCCTCAGTCCAGGCTGGGCCGGGCCTCACAACATAGCTGAGGCTGGCCTTAAACGTCTTTCAACCCTCGTCTTCAGATTCCCAAGTACTGGGATGGTTAAGTGTGAGCACACACACCAGATTCTGGAGTCTTTCTGAGCATGTGCACACTTGTATACAGCAGTGGTTCTCAACCTTCCTAACACTGTGACCCTTTAATGCAGTTCCTCATGTTGTGATGACCTCCAACCATAACATTATTTTGTTGCTACTTCGTAACTGTAATTTTGCTACTGTTATGAGTCATGACGTAAAGATCTGATATTCAGGATTATCTGATATGCGACCCCCCCAAAAGGTCAAGACTCAAAGGTTGAGAACCACTGGTATAGAGCATTTTGTGTACATGTGAGCCTGTTACATGATCTACAATTGTTCTCATGACGGACATTTTAGAAACTGCCTTTCTTTTTCAATTTGCAGTTAGCTCTCTCTAATCCTCAACACCCCAACCGCCAGATAATCAGGCTCACATCCTGATCTGTGACTTCCCATTCTCCTTACATCTCATAATCACTTCCAAATGTGTGTGTACAGCTGCCAGAAGCAGCGAGAGGATATTTAGTATTCTCAGCAGTAAGTTTTCTGCAAGGAGTAACTTTTTATATTTCACCGTCATGTCAGATTCATAGCTAGACCCTCAGTGTCATGTCTAGAGAGCACTCAGTTGTAAAGAGCCCACACTGCTCTTGCAGAGGACCCAAATTAGGTTCCCAGCACCCACACCGAGTGGCCCATAACCTCCTGTAACTCCAGCTCTGAGGGATCTGGCATGCTCTTCTGGCCTCCAAGGGCACCAGGCAAGCACGTGGTGCACAGACTCACATGCAGGGAACACACCATTACACATAAAATGAAGTGAAAAATTAAAAGAGAGGGAGCTGTGCTCTTCTCTGGGGTCCCGGCATCACCCACAGGAATGAAGAGCCTACAGTTCACACCAAACCACAAAGAGAAAATAAGATTCCATGATCAAGAAAGCTTTGGAAAACCTGGGTTTTTGTTTTTTGTTTTTAACAAGTTCCAAAGAAATCTTTGAGTTCTTCCATATCTGCAGAGAATGTTTCAAGTCCCCTGTGGACACCTCAAGTAGTGGATAGTATTGAGCCATATTTGCTGGTGTCATGTGTACATGCACACCTCATACTAACAAATAACCAAGTAAGTAGTTACAGTGAACAAAGAGAACAATGGGACAGCTCAGAGGACCAAAGGTATGCCACTGCGCTCTCCGTTCCTTTGTTTTCACGACAGGGTTTCTCTGTGTAACAGCTCTGGCTGTCCTGGAACTCACTCTATAGACCTGGCTGGCCTTAAACTCATAGAGATCTGCCTGGCTCTGCCTCCCGAGTGCTGGGATTAAAGGTGTGTGCCACCACTGTCCGGCTGATAATAATTCTTATTGTATATTGCTTTACTATGTTAAGAGACTTTTCCTTTTTTTTTTTTTTTGGTTTTTCGAGACAGGGTTTCTCTGTGTAGCTTTGCGCCTTTACCTGGGACTCACTTGGTAGCCCAGGCTGGCCTCGAACTCACAGAGATCCGCCTGCCTCTGCCTCCCGAGTGCTGGGAGACTTTTCCTTCTTAATTAGACAAAAAAGGGGGAAATGTTACAGCAATTCTGCCACCAGTCCGCTAGCCAACCGAGAGGAACGTTTTGGTCCAAGAGGCGGGGTTTTCACTGGGGATGGAGGTCACTGAGGAAGGGGTAGTCCTTTTTTGGAGCAAGGAGGAAGCAGCAGGTGTAAGTGGTGGCCTGCAACTCTGTTCAGGTTCCCCATTTACTCTTTAATATCTGTGCATGGATTTTACACTTTAATAAACAATAAAAGAATTCTTTAGCCGGGCAGCAGTGGTGCACATCTTTAATCCCAGCACTCAGGAGGCAGAGGCAGGTGGATCTCTATGAGTTCAAGGCCAGCCTGGTCTACAGAGTGAGATCAAGGACAGGCATTAAAACTATACAGAGAAACCCTGCCTAGAAAAATTTAAAAGAATTTTATGCCCAACTTTTTTTTTTTTTTTGGTATTTCAAGATAGTTTCTCTGTGTAACAGCCCTGGCTATCCTGGAACTCACTTTGTAGACCAGGCTAGCCTTAAACTCACTGAGATTGGCCTGCCTCTGCCTCCTAAGTGCTGAGATTAAAGGTGTGTGCCACCACTGCCTGACTATGCCCAACATTTTAACATTAGTTCTGGGACAGACTCCTGTGCTTGCCAGGTGTACACTTTACCAACCAAGTTGTTTTCTAAGCATTCAACTTTAATTTTTTAAAATTAAGCAAACACCGTGAAAATGGAGGAAGCCTGAAGACTTCTTGGCCATCAAAATGACAGTCAACGCCTGCATTTCTGAGAGATCAACACAGAATCCTTACCATAGAGTTCAGCAAACCCGTTCATAGGCACACGGGATGTGCCTGTAACAAACTGAAGCAAGCGAATTCTTTTTTCTGAGTCCATCATTAAAACAGCCTGAAAAGCAGAAAGATTTCTGTTAGAGGAGAGTCCTAGAAATGACAGAAAAATTATCCAGGGGGAAAAAAAAAAAATCCGAATTTAGAGAATTAATAATGACTAATTTTGTTCTTCTTGTTCTCAAAAACCATATTTCCAAGACCTTATTTCTCTAGGGGCTGCAGAGATGGCTCACAACTGTCTGTAACTGCAGTTCCAGGGAAATCTGGCGCCCTCCTCTGGCTTCTGCAGGCACTGCATACATGTGGTGCACATAAACTCATTCAAGTGTATGTGCACAGACCACACACCACACACCACACACACACACGCAATTAAAAACAAACCTTTAACAATTACATTTATTGACATTACTGAATGGATTACATTTATTGACATTACTGAATGGCATATGTATAAGAGAATTTAAAGGAGCCACGTTGTGGGTTATTACAAGCTCTTGAAAGAATCCACATGTTGGAGGAAAGCTAATGTGTCTACTTCAGCTCATTTACCACAATTTTGAATGCTTTCCCTACTTAACTCTGAATAACTGGGAGCGTGGAATCACACTCAAAGGCACATCATACAAAATTAAAAGTTACACCTGCTTGGCTGGTGTGCTTTTCTGGGTTACCCCTGTGCTATGCACCCCGAATGTTATTCTAGAAGTGGCATAATATAATTGAATCTACTAACAAGTTGGGATTACCTTCCAGAACCACTGGATGACCTGGTGGTTTGGGCTGTAGCCATTTTTGTACTTTGTATGATCCTTCCAGTCGCCCACATCCACATCTCCCAGGCCACACATGAGAAGCTGCAAAAAAGATACGTAGTCAGAACCTCCACCAGGAAAACTGGTACAGAGCTCTGTTGTTTTTGTTTTTCTGAGACAGGGTATCACAGTGTAGCTCTGGCTGTTCTGGAACTCATTATACAGATCAGGCTGGCCTCAAACTCAGACATCTCTTTGCCTGCCCCTGCCCCCCACCAATGCTGGCATTAAAGGCGTGCATCACTATGCCCAGCCAAAACTCTACTTTAACATAAAATATTTCTCTCCCTCTTGATCTTTTTATTCCATCTATTTCTTTATTTACTCAGTCGTGTGTGGGGGGGGGGGATGTGCATGCCTCGTTTTGAGTGTGAAAGTCAGAGGACAGCTGGTGGGAGGTGGTTTCCCTGGATCACACTCCAGCTGTCAGGCTTGGTGGTAAATGCCCTTCTCTCCCGAGCCACCTTGGTGGTTCTCCAGTTCTCTTTTTAAAGTCAGGGTCGCCTGTAGTGCCCTCAGGTTAGCTTCAAACTCTCACAGCTGGAATAGGTGCACAACATCATACCTGGTTTCCTGCCGAGGACGGAGCCAGGGCCTCATGCACACTAAGCACCTTTCTCCCCCTCCTCTCCACCCACTCTACCACCCCACCAACCGAGCTGTGCACTCGCCTCACCAGTCCCTCTCCACTCGGCCACCTTCTTTCTCACCGCCCTCCAAACCCATGGTGCTGAGGACTGAACTCAGGGCCTGGAGTTCTTAACACTGAACTACATTCCCAGTGACACACAGAAATATTTCTTACCTCCAGTTCATTTTCATCGAATATCTTGATGAGATCTTGGGGTATCAGTTCAAAAAATCCCTGCAAGGAAGGAATGTGTGCAAAGCTGGTTGGCAGGCTCAGCTCCACGCTTGAGCACCCTGCAGCAGGGGAGCACTCTGCCTTCTACAGAAGCCACTGGACACTCGTGAGCTCTTCACTGTGATCCAGTGAGACAATGAGGCGCCCTGGTCAGCATGCTCTGTCTTTCTCAAAGTGGCTGCCTTGAAACATTCCCTCACTTCAAGCCTCCTCCTCTCTCATCATCCTTCTTCACAGAACAGAAGAAAGACAGGCTGAACAAAGCCGAGCTTGCATCCTGGCCACGCCTCCTGCAGAGGGAGGCCTTGTCTCTGCAGGCCTCATCACCGGCTACTGCTTCCTCAGCTCCCTCCCCCAACCATCCCTCACCCACCACCGTCTGTCCAAGCCAGACCTGCCTTCAAAACACCTCGCTCTTCTTCCTCTCAAAGCCAGGACATACAGTAGGTAAAGCCAAATCCAACTGTTCACACCCCAACTGTCCCTCCACTACCTGGCACCTGCACTGACCTTGGAAGAGCCAAGGTCAACTTTGCAGCTGCCCAGTGAACACTTCCCATTTCAATCCTCTTGGATTTTTGTCTGCTTCTAAAAAACTGCAGGTGTGTGTGTGTGTGTGTGTGTGTGTGTGTGTGTGTGTGTGTGTGTGCGCGCGCGTGCGTGCGCGCACACATTATTTTAAAAACATGACATGAGGTTGTGGGGGGTTCCCGTTTCTACCTAACAAGGCCAGATACAGCGGAGCCGCCACACCCACCCAGCATTTACTTGAGGGTTCTGGTCAGCATCTCCCCAGCCTTCTCAGTGTTTGCTGATCAGAATGACTGTATTTCAAATATCTATATTCAAATACTCCAGTAGTACCTTGTTAATGTAAATATATGCCTCAGGGGGCTGGAGTGGTGGCTTAGTGTTAGGAGTACACACTGCTCTTGCGGGAGACCTGAGCTTGGCCCCTAGAACTATGCTGGCGGATCACAACTGCCTGGAACTCTAGCACCAGGGGATCCTTCGCTGGCCTCCACAGGCATGCATGTGCACACTATTTTAAAAATATAAAATTATATTGAGAGTGGCTGAAATAGCCCACCACATCTTATCTGTCTCAGATCCAAGGAGGCCCAATACTCGGAGTTACGGGCGGGTCCTTGAAGGGCTGGGAAGACCAGCAGACGATCACACGTACCTCTTTGAAAGCAGCCATTTGTTTCTGGATTCGGTTCACAAAGCGCCACTGTATAACAAGGCTGAAAGGAAAAAACAAACAACAAAACATCTTCTCTCCCTGCACACAAACCAAGAAATACCGTTTGCTTTTCTTTCTTTCTTTTTGTTTTTTTTTTTTTTTTTTTTGTTTTTTGTTTTTTTTTTTTGGGTTTTTCGAGACAGGGTTTCTCTGTGTAGCTTTGCACCTTTCCTGGGACTCACTTTGTAGCCCAGGCTGGCCTCGAACTCACAGAGATCCGCCTGGCTCTGCTTCCCGAGTGCTGGGATTAAAGGCGTGCGCCACCACCGCCCGGCTTTTATTTGGTTTTCGAGACAGGGTTTCTCTGTGTAGCTTTGCGCCTTTCCTGGAATTCACTCTGTAGCTCAGGCTGGCCTCAAACTCACAGAGATCCGCCTGGCTCTGCCTACCAAGAGCTGGGATTAAAGGCATGCAGTACTACCGCCCGGCTCTCCAAGAAACACTTTTAAGACATGCTTACTCCAGTTATAACAGACAGACTAGCTGGGACCTCGGCAAAAGCTGAAGAGAGACAGGCAGAACTAAGGTGTGTTTTTTTCTGAGAAAATTGAGATTCTGGCCATGAGGGAAGAGAACAAGCTAAGGAAAACCTTCTAAAACAGGGGGAAAAAAGCAGCAGAGAATTGTCTCTAGGAAATCCTTAGAATAAAGGACTCACTAAATATACTCCTTTTTGTTCTTGTTGGTGACGACGATGTCTGAGCCTCCAGTTTTCAGTTCATGTTGATGTGTCTAAATTAAACATGACATGAAAAAAAAAGTGTAAATGAGTTACACCAGAAGCCTGGTATTTTAAATTAAATCCATTCAAAAGCTACAAGCCAAGAAAACTGAAATATTACTTGTACTAAAATGAATACAGAATGAATCAAGCGTCAAAGCCCAAATACTGGCTGAGAGACAGTTCTGCCAGGAGAGTTCAGAAAGCGTCTCGGGTGCGGGACGGTGCCTACGCTTAGGTGACAACATTGGTTTTGCAAGCAATGTATTATCTGAAAGTGTACAGACCTGTCCAAAGAGTTCCTCATCAATGATAAATCTGAGGTCCAGCTCTGTTGGGTCATTCTCAAGAATCCAACGCAGTGAACTGTAATATTCACTATCCTAGAAGGGAAATAACATTTTAATTAATTAATTAGTTTTGCAGTGCTGGGAATTGAACTCAGGACCTTGTACATCGTAGGCAAGGACATCCACAGAGTAGCATGGGAAAGCTGCACTTGAACATCTGTATAAAGATAGCTGGACATCCACACCACTACATTGGTGCTGCTGGGAAGATGGCAGCCAGGCAAGTGCTGGCGTCCCAAGCTTGACGACCTGAGTTTGGATTCCCTAGCACCCATATGAAAAGCTGGGCACAGGGCACACACCTGAAACCCCAGGCCTAGGGAGGTGGAGACAGGAGGATCCCAGGAACTCAATGGTCAGCCAGCTTGGCCAAATCAGTAAGCTCCAGGTTCAGTGAGACACTGTCTCAAAGAATAAGATGGAGAAAAGGGGAAAGACAGTGACATTGGCCTCTGTTCTCCCTAAGTGCAAACCCATATGCATACACATATACACACAGTGCATGAGCATGTCTACACACACACACACACACACACACACACACACACAGTGAGCGAGCACACAGACATGCACACGCTGTAGCAAGGATCTGGTTAACTGGGGAAAAGATAAAAATGTTACTTGCACATCTTATCCACTCACACCTAAACTGAGCTAAGCTGCCCAAGTGAAAACATGCCAGTTGGTAACCTGGTGCCCAGTTCTCTGTGTGAAGGCAGTGGTTGTAGAGATTTTAATCATAGGGCTAAGTAAAACATTTTCCAAATAAATCTAACTTTCCTGGATTTCCAGACATCTCCCTCCTGGGATTGTGAGGTTGTACTTGAAATGTCTGAGTTCATTGCTGGCCCACACTGAAGAAAAGTTTGAATTAAATATAAAATCTTAACTGACCCACACAATAACTGTGCTCTCACAGTTTCCAAAGAACATGCTGGAGCTGGGGATGTGGCTCAGCTCAGGGAGTACTTCTTGGCATGTGCAAAGCCCTGAGTGTGATCCCTAGAAAAACATGAACCAGGTGTGGTGGCACACACCTGTAATCTCAGCACCCAGAAGTCAGAGGCAGGAGGCTCAGAAGTCATCCCTAGCTACACGGTGAGTGTGAGGCCAGTCCATGCTCCCTGAGACCCTGTCTCAAACAACAATAAAAAACACAACAAAGAATCAGCTGGGACCTGGGGAGATGGTTCAGTGGTTAAGAGCTCAGCCTACTCTTGCAGAAGACTGCGGTTTAATTTCCAGCACCCACACTACAGCTCACAACCATCTGTTACTCCAGTTTCAGTGGACCCAGCATCCTTCTCTGGCCTCCGAGGGTACCAGGCATACACAGAGTGCACATACATAGATGCAGACAAAACACTCATATGCATAAAATAAAAATAAATCGTTCTAAAAAAATCATGATGCTTGTACCAATAAAGGATATCAAGAGGGAATAACAATGTACTCAGTACACATGTATCCACCATGCCCAGGGCCACCAGCAGCGGAGAGAGACTTGGTCCTTTGGCTTCTGTTTCTGTACAGGAGCCCACCACAACACCCTGCCTTTGGAGCACCAGCTTTAAACATATGCCATTCACCACCAACAATTACAACCAAACCCTGGTGTAAAGGATATGTAACTACTGCATAGCAGACAGAACCCAGGGGAGGTCTGACAAGATGCCTCAATGGGTCAACACCTGCCACCAAGCTTGATGACCCGAGTTCAACTGCCGGGACCCATATGACAGCAGCGACTCCTGCGAACTGTCCGTTGACCTCACAGGCATTCCATGGTACAAGCAATGCTCCCCATCCCCCAGATAAATAAATGTCATAAAAATAAATACATAAAAAATTTTAAAATTTAGCAGCCAGTCGGCCACAGCTCAGCAGGTAAGCCTGAGGAGCAGAGTTCAATCCCTGGAATCCACATGATGGAGATTACTGACTACCTTTATATGCCCAAATGAACACATAAACAAAAATATGTAGATGTAAAAGATAAATATAAAATCATTCAGAAGGTATAACTAATATTTGCAATGCACTAAAAATCTAAGATGTACTGATGGACACAGGCATAGGAATAAAGTCAGGGTGTGGTGGACACAGGTATGAGACAGGAAAACTATCTCATCAGAGAAAGAGTGGGCAATGGATATGCAACCATTCACTGCAAAGTTCTTTCCAGTGTATTACATGCTAGAAAACGTTCACTTGAGTATTTTTGTGGGTCAATGACCATGTATGGTGTAAGTGAGTCTTAGGCATGTACGTGTAGAGGGAATGGAGCACACACCCACTGAGCACAAGTGTTCTGTTCTGTCTTTCTCCACTTGATCCCAAAGACACAGGAACTGAGGGCTGACCCTGGAACTGAGCTTGTGGGCAGCAAATCCCAGAAATCCTCCAGCCTCTGTCTCCCACAGTTCAGAGGTTACAGACACCCACACAGCCATGCCCAGCTTTTTATGTGGCGAGATGTCAATTCGGATCCTTGAACACAGGCACGGGTCCATCCCTTCAGTCCCCATTTCCATTTTGAGGAAACAGTGAAATTGATTAATTTCTGTTTTGAAAACCAGTTCTCTGGACAGTGTGAGTAGCTTAGTGCTGCCGCACTACCTCAGCATGTGCAAGGCCCTGGAGTGTTGAAATCCAGCAATGGAACAACCCCCGAGCCCCAATTCTCTAAGCCTAGTAAGTGCGTAAGAGGGACCTACCACAGACTCCATGTCATGCAGCGTTATCATTTTCTGAAGCATCATCTTGTAAAAGGGGCGGATGAAAAAGCCTTGTAAAAAACAAAATAGATTTAAGATGATTATCAATTACAACAACAACAACATCAAACCCACATTAAAACAAGTTTGCTATGTGACACTAACCATCCAGCAGCTTGCCATGATAAACTGCCATGCCAGCCACACGACCGATGAATTTGAAGTAGGAGAGGTGATCTTCGTTACATAAGCCCGAGTTTGGATTTATCTGGAGGGTGTAATTATCCCTGTAAAGACAAACCACATTTCTTGAAATTCTTGACATTTCATAGGAAAAAAAACTTACACAGGCAAGTGATTATGAAAATGTCCCCTCTTTTTTTATTTTCCTCTACTAAAAACCAACGCACTGATAATGGTCTTTAAAAAAATATCCATTTCAGTCAAGATAGAAAAAAATCCCAAAGGCAAAACCTACTCATTTTTATGTTCAAAAGACAAAGAGAAAACCTGACGCTTGGTCTAACATGGCTGGACTTTGAAGACAGGCGGTTGTACAACAATTTCCTCCAAACTGAATTCAAATACTCCCTCCAAGACAGAGGGCGGGGCTCGTAAGACTCAGGCAGTGGGGCTGGAGAGATGGCTCAGTGCTTGTAGAAGACTGGGGTTGATTCCCAGAACCCACATGGCAGCTCACAACCAACTGTAACTCCAGTTCCAGGGACCTGATGGCCTCTTTTGGCCTGTGAAGGTACTGCATGCTTCTAGTGCATAAGCATACATGTAGGAAAACACCTAAACACATTAAATGAAATAAAAAACAAAGACCCAGGACGTTATCAAAACTTACAAGACGTAGCCGGGCGGTGGTGGCGCACGCCTTTAATCCCAGCACTCGGGAGGCAGAGGCAGGCGGATCTCTGTGAGTTCGAGGCCAGCCTGGGCTACCAAGTGAGTTCCAGGAGAGGCGCAAAGCTACACAGAGAAACCCTGTCTCAAAAAACCAAAAAAAAAAAACAACAAAAAAAAACAAAACAAAAAAACAAAAAAAAACAAAAAACAAAAAAACAACAAAAAAAAAAAATTACAAGACGCACAAAGCCCTCTCCAGGGGAGAGGAATGCTGACCAACTGAGCTACCTGAAGTCATGCAGGGAGCTACAGGGACAGGGACAGAGCCTTGGTGGGTCCTCACCCAGGTGATGGTGAGCTTCTCTATTACCCGGTTGCCTTTGCATCATCCCTGCCACCAGAAACATCCCTCACCTGTCTTCTGAAAGTAATCCAAACAATTTCATGGTTTGCCACGTTGGGCTCTGGTAGCATCCTAACTTGTCTCTTGTCCGCCCCTATCTCAGGTGAATAGAGGTTTGTTCATGTTTTCCAATGAAATGTTACTTGACATATGCTAAGTGAAATAATGCATATGCCAAGGCCAAATGCTGCATGGTTCCACGTGTCTAGTCTACTCTTCACAGAGAAGAGTAGCCTGGGGGCTGCCAGGAGGTGGGGGACAAGAGTTCAATGATGCAGGATGTACTTGAAATGCCAGCCAAGTGAGGGCTGGGGTGGGAGCTCTGTGGAAGAGGTCCTGCCAATTATGTGCAATCCACAGTGCACACAAACACACGCAAAGTTAAAATGGTAAGTTTGATGTTATATACATTTTAACACAACTTAAGCAGTCACCTCTGACATACAAGTTACAGTCCCCCATGACACCAATCATGTAGCCCATGCTTTCTAACGTGCAACCTAACTTTGGAGAGTGTGATTTTTTTCCCCCCTACCTTCTACACACAGTCATTTAAAGTCTTTATGCCAGGTGTGGTGGCATGTGGGTATAGTCTTAGCTAATCAGGAGGCTGAGGCAGGATTCTTTAAGCCCAGGAATTCAAGGCTACCCTGGGCAACACAGTGAGACTTGGTAATAAGGAAAAACTTACGTAGCAGAATATTCAAACAGCCCATAATAAGGGTTAAACATCTCCTTTGAAATGAGGAAGAACCATTCCCGAGCAACTCCTCCATAATCAAGTCCCTTTTCGCCATCAAACTCAATCCAGAGTCGAGCCTTCAGGAAGTCAGCTTTCTTCACACCCATAATCCTCCGGTAAGAATCCTCCAGAACATTTGCGCGGCGAAGTTTCATTTCAAATTTATTTGGAATGTCATTCTGCAGAGCCAGGAGAGAGATGGTTTAGATCAGCCCAGTGTGGTACCACACTCCACTCTGTGCCCACAGTCCTTTTCCCTTTCTTAAGTAATCCATCAGAAAAAACCCACCTGGGTGTACTGACCGTTTTATCTCCTCCCTTCCTCAAGAAACAGTCCATTCTTGTCACCCAGGTTAGCCATGCACTTGCTATATAGCTCAGGCTAGCCCAGAACTCAAGATCTTCTAGCACCCTTCTAACTCCTGGACTTAGAGGTGTGTGTCCCCACATTTAGCTTGGAATTATGGTCTTAACATTCTTCTACAGTGGCAGAATGTAGATTTTTTTCCCCCTAATCACTTCTGACTTCTTTGTCTAAAGAAGCTACAGCTGGTGAGAATAAACCCTAGAAGGCATTTTGCCAGTCAGTAGTGCACTCCATGTTGTACATGGTCTGCTCATTCTGCCATCAACGCTCCACAGCTGGCCACCTGCCCACGGCCAGCCACTCACTACCAGCCTGTCCTTACTGCCATCCCAGGCACTGTCCTCTCTATCTGATGGCTTCACTCATCACTCTTCCTAACAACACTATAATAAGTACTGTCTCCATTTTAACATGAAGAAACCTGAGACCACAGAAACAGAAAGGACCTGACTTCCCGGCCTCTGCTCTTACTGTAGGACACTTGGCTCCTTCGTCTCTTCGACGTCCATGCTTCAGAGACAAATGCAGGTAACCATGCCTCAGACCCCACGGTAAACACTACAATGTACCCGAGTGTTTTCTCCCTGAGTGCTGTGTGACAAGTGTCTAGTGGGTACTGTTAGGAGAAGTAAAGTTCTCAGGCTTCTGTCAGCTCAAAGACAGACAAGTTATTAGGAGCACACATGATTCTGCTGGTGTATTTAGGGAAAGCAGAAAGCCCCACGGGAACTAAATAAACAGCTCACAGAAGCAATATACGCAGTGCACCGGTTTCTTCTGCGGCTCAGGCAAGTTAAATAGTGGTAGAACTGGGGAAAAGAGGTTTGCAAACAGTAATTACCAGGGGGCTGGAGAGATGGCTAAGTGGTTAAGAGCACTATCTGCTCATCCAGAGGACCTGTGTTCAAGTCCCAGCACCCACATGGCAGCTCACAACTGTCTGTAACTCTAAGATCTGACACCCTCATACAGACATACATGCAAGGAAAACACCAATGCACATAAAATAAGAATAAAAAATTATTTAAAAAAAAGGAGAGAGACAGACTAATTACCAGGCAACGGAAGTGCCCTGTTCTGGGACAGGCCCCACCCACAGTGGGGCTAGGGATGGGAAAGAGAACAAAAACTCGGTGTCCGATGTATTTCCTCAAGGACTGTACAGTACAGTGTGGGTAGAGGTAACTGGAAATACTGTCACTTCCAAACTTACAGGAGCTCCTAAGAACAGCTATCTGTGTGAGTATGTAAGACTGAGCTCTTGGCCTGAGTTCCAGGCCAGACTGTTTGAAAACACCCGTGACTTATGTATTTAATATCTATAAATGTGGGATATTGTATGTGCAGGCCAGAGGTCAATCAATATTCAATGTCTTCTTCAACTGTTCACCTTGTTTACTGAATTGTTTGTTCTCATTATGTAGCCCCGGCTGGCCTGTAAATCTCTATGTAGACCAGGCTGGCTTCAAATTCACAGAGATCCGCCTGTTTCTGCCTCCTAAGTCCTGGGATTAAAGGTGTGCGCCACCAGGCCCAAGTTCCCATCTTTTGAATTTTTTTTGTTTTTGTTTTTTTGGGGGGGACAGTTTCTCTGTGTAACCTTGACTGTCTTGGAACTCTCTATGTAAACCAGGCTGGCCTGGAATTGAAGAGACTGCCTGCCACTGCCTCCTGAGTGCCCAGCAAGCCCATTATCAACTAGACTATCTACCCATCTTCTTTAAAATCAGAATGCCTAAAACTCGAAGACAATTTTCAGAATAATTTAGACACCAAAGTTCTAGAGAATTTAAAATTCATTTTCTATTTAAAAATTCTATTGGGAAATATAGTATTTACAATAAAAAAAATGTAGTATTTTATTTTGTCAAATTTTGAAAAAGTCTGGTATCCAACCCACCATTTTGAATCAGTCGAAGTACAACCCAACATTGCCACCTAGTGGCCATACTCCTAAACTGCAGGGAAAGACAGAAAGGACCAGCACATGAGGAAGACATTTAAAATGTTAGTTACACCAAAGGATGGGCAGATGAGTTTAATTCTAAATATACTTGCAGTTTGGTGATGGAAAAAGTGCAATGAACATAAATACCAAACATAAGGAAATAAGTAACAATACTACCATTTGGACTTCACTGTTAATTTTTGAATTATGTGGAAATGTGTTGTATTCAGAGCTATGAAGAATGGGTGGCTATTAACACTCAATGTGGGAAAGGAATCCAGAAGTCTTGAACACAATCAAACACAAGGCAAGAAGAAAATCTCCAAAGCACAAAGTCACAAAGACGAAGCCCTATGAAGGAACACACTTAAGCAAATGTCAAGATGTTTTTCTATATTACAAAGACTCCTGAAAAATAAACATGAATGTAAGTATGCTGCTTAATAAGTTATCCAGAATGTACACCTCCTAGGACTGGAGAGATGGCTCAGCAGTTAAAAGCATGCTCATGCAAAGGACCCAAGTTCAGCTCACAGCATCCACATTGGTCAGCTCACAACCGCTTGTAATTCCATGTCTAGGGGATCTGATGCCTCGGGTCTCCTCAGATAACTGCACTCACACCCCCCTACACAATTAAAAATTCATTCATTCATTCATTCATTCATTCATTCATTTGAGACAAGGTTTCATTTATTTATTTATTTGAGACAAGGTTTCACTATGTATATTTGGCTGTCCTGGAACTCAGTATGTAGACCAGGCTGGCCTTGAACTCAGAAATCTGCCTTCCTCTGCTTCTTGGGTGCTGGGATTAAAGGTTTTACGCCACCATGTCCAGCCTTTAAAAATAATTATCTTCTGGATAAGTGAGACAGTTGATTAGCTTGAACTGATTGCGAGACACCCAGGCAGTGGGACTGGGACCTGTCCTCAGTGCATGAGCTGGCTGTTTGGAGCCTGGGGCCTATGCAGGGACACTTTGCTCAGCCTGGCAGGAGGGGACTGGACTGAATTTACCAGGTTGAACTCAATCCCCAGGGGAGTCCTTGCCCTGGAGATGGGAATAGGGGGTGGGCTGGGGAGAGGGCCTGGGGCGGTAGGAGGAAGGACAGGGGAAGCCGTGGCTGATATGTAAAATTAAATCAAATTATAAAATAAAAAAAAGAAAGAAAAGAGAAAAAAATAATCTTTTAAAAATCATGGGGCTAGGGCTAGAGAAATGGCTCAGTGGTTAAGAGCACTGACTGCTCATCCAGAAGACCTGAGTTCAAGTCCCAGCACTAACATGGCAGCTCACAACTGTCTATAACTCCAAGATCTGACACCCTCATACAGACATACATGCAAGGAAAACACCAATGCACATAAAATAAAAATAAAAGGAGAAAGAAAAAGATCATGGCTCAGTGCTTAAGAGCACTCACTGCTCTTGCAGAAGACCCAGGTTCAAACTGACATGGTGACTCGACCATTCTTAATTCCAGTTTCAGAGACTCAGCACCCTCTTCTGGTCTCCACAGGCACCAGATCAAGTACATGCACATAGGCAAAACATTCATGCACACAATAAAATAAATCACTCTTTAAAAACTTCTTTAAGGCCGGGCGGTGGTGGCGCACGCCTTTAATCCCAGCACTCGGGAGGCAGAGCCAGGCGGATCTCTGTGAGTTTGAGGCCAGCCTGGGCTACCAAGTGAGTCCCAGGAAAGGCGCAAAAACTGCACAGAAAAACCCTGTCTCGAAAAACCAAAAAAAAAAAAAAAACTTCTTTAAAACACCCCCCCCCCACACACACACCCCCACACCCTTTCCCTATGAGAAAGCAACCACTCAGTCTTCAAACACAGTAGGATGCATCTGGACCGCTCCCCAAAGTCTCCCATCATCCCCGCCTCCCAATGGCTGAGAAGCTGATACAATGTCACTAACCTGCTTCTTCATCTTTCTGCGGAAGAACTCGTACTTCCTTTTGTAATCCCTGGAGTAGGGCACTGCCTTTAGTTGGAAAATTTGGAAAAACAAAGTTTAGGTTGGTTTTATTTGCAACAGCATTATTAGCTCCCCATGGATATCTTATGAGTATACACAAAGAATTATTTGGAAATTAATGTTTCATTTGAAGAAAAGCAAACAGAAGAACAGTATTTTTTACAAAATTTCCCTTTAAGATAAAATTGCATTCAGCAGTCACTGTGGCTAAAATTTTTTCATGCAATTTTTTTTTTTTAATAAGAGACAGAGTCTCTCCATGCATCAATGGCTATCCTCGAATTCTCTATGTAGACCAGAGATCCCCAGAGATCCTCCAGAGTGATGAGAGTAAGGGCATGTGAGACCACTGCCCGCCCATACAATATTCTTAAAATGTGACATGCCAGAAGCAAAATAAATCTTTCAGGCAGAGAAAATTTAGAAACAAAAATTCTACTTCTGAAAAGGCTTTCAAAGTGCTTTTGCCATTAAAGAGATCATTTGAAAAGTGCATTTTTTCCTTGAATTCCCAGGAGTTCCCTTTGTTACTCATTATTTTAAGCACGTACACATCGAGATACTAGACACTAATCTAAAAAAACCTCATGTTCAATTTCTTATTAATTTTGTGAATTAACAAACAAAACCTGAAGAAAAAAATGGAAAAAGTGGCTACATAAGAGTGATTTTCCAGGGCTGGAGAGATGGCTCAGAGGTTAAGAGCACTAACTGCTCTTCCAGAGGTCCTGAGTTCAATTCCCAGCAACCACATGGTGGCTCTCAACCATCTGTAATGAGATCTGGCGCCCTCTTCTGGCCTTCAGTCATACTGTATACATAATAAATAAATGAATCTTTAAAAAAAAAAAAAAAAAAGTGATTTTCCTATAGTTAACCTGACTCAGGAGTAGTATAATCATGGGACAGTGTAATATTTTTACAGATATGAATAAGGTTTAGACAGTGGGCTTCTGCGATATGACTACAAATAACTCATCCTGACTCAGGCTGTTTCTGTCGGTTCCACCCTTGACCGGGAGCACTGGGATGCAGGCGACTTACTGGTCCAGCTGTTGCCACATCCTGCATCCGAGGGTCTTCCCACTGGGTCTTCTTTGTGTCTAAGAGGGAAAAGAAAAGAGATGTTCCTCTTCCTCATGTCTACAACCAAGCAGCAGGCAGAACTGCAACAGAGTGCCTCGGTACGTACTGTGATTGATATAGAAGACTCTTCCATCTGTGTGGGTCCTTTCTTCCCAGCCGGGCTGGAAGGAAACATTTATTCCAATTATTTCAGCACCAGGCCTTAGATGTACAGGTTATTTAAAAAGAATCCCATAATAAAAAAAAATTAAAAAACAAAAGAAAAACCCAAAACACTGGCACTGGCTGTATGCTTACTTTCCACCTATCACTGTGAGCAGAGGACTCAATAGTTTAGTAATAGTTAGATAATCCTACATCTGAAGGTACAAATGGCTGAGTTTGTCAAGCTAGCTCAGCAGCAGAACTTACAGGTAAAGGTCCGAGATCATTGGACGGGTCGACTGGTGTCTTCGCTTTTAGTTCAGCAGGGACTTTGGATGTTGGATCGTCCTTTATTTGGGTAAGACACAAAGAAAACCACACAAATTTTAAAATGATGATACCACTGCGATACAACTGTTTTGAGAAGTCGATGGACATTTCAAACACTCTCTCTGGAGTTGGAGAGACAGCTCAGTGTTTGGTAAAGCATTTGCCATGACAGAGAAAGGACCCGAGTTTGGATCCCCTGAACCCATGTAAATGCCAGGGCGGCACCACAGTAATTACACCATTGTAACTCTAGCCTTGGATGGAGGAAAAGGGATCCCCGAGCAAGCTGGCAGGGAGACTGGTGGTACAAGCTGCAGGCTTGAGTGACAGAGCCTGCCTCATCGAACTATAAGAAGAACAATGGAGGATGATTTCTGGTATCAACCTCAGGCCTCCACATGCATTCACATCACACTCACACACAGACACGCATGCATACATGCAAATAGGCAGCAAGCATACGTATGTACACACATGCAGCACACATACATGAAAATGGAAAAATAAAGAAATAAATTAGATATTGTATTTCTTTCTTTCTTTTTTTTTAGTTTTTGAGACAGCTCTCACACAGTCCAGACTGGCATTAGAGTCTTGACCCTCTTACCTCAGCCTCACAAGTGCTAGGATTACACGTGCATGCCACCTCACCTCACTCAGTCTTAATTCCTTCACTTATTTCTCCTTCTAGAAGATAACAGTGTGAGGTAGTCCTGCTGGGAGGTGGATAAGATCACTTCCCGGGAGATCAGCACTGATGTCTTTCACTGAGACCCACTTCACCCCAGAGAGCCCACCATCCAGTCTGCTGGAAACTGAACTACATCAATTTTTTCTCTGTACAGAAACTGGTGTAGGATGGTGCATTATACTGACCATCTGGGCTGGTGACACGGCTCAGCAGATAAGGTACCTGCTCCCAAAGCCTGACAACCGGAGGTTGATACCCGGGACCCACATGGAAGGAGAGAACAGACTCCTACAAGCTGCCCTCTGACCTCCACACACATGGACACATACAGGATAAATAAATGCATGAGTATAATCAAACAAATGAATAAATAAATAGGATAGGCTGTGGTATCTGTTTGAGTATTGATTTCTTTTCCTTGAAAGACAGGAGGGTAGCCTTAAAAGAAAGTAAGATCAATTCACATCTTAAAAAAGAGAACAAAGTTAAATCTATTTGGATTAGTTAATGTATAATTACTTTAATATTATTATATTAGTCAAGTTAAGTTCTTTTAGATTTGTTTAAGCTATGTTGATCTTTTAAATTAGTTACTAAATCTCGAGTTATAAATCTGGAGAACTTTTTTGTTGGTGATGAGCTAAACACCAAACAACTTTAAGATTTAAACTAAAAATATCAGGACTTAGCAATTAAGAGCACTGGCTGTTCCTTCAGAGGACCAGGGTTTGGCTCCCAGCACCCATGTAGTGGCTCACAACCATCTCTAACTCTAATTTGAGGGTATCTGACACCCTTTTCTGGCCTCCATGGGTGCACAGCCATATACATAGGCAGTCATACACATAAAATATGTAAATAAACTCTAACAATAACAACAAATCTGTCCTGCCTAGTTTTACAGAGTCTTTCTGTTAATATTAATAAATGAGATAAAAACCTGAAAGTGCTCTGAAAATAGAAAGTCTCATACAAAGGTAAAAAATTATTATTAAAAATCTTTCTAAGTCTTTATGACCAGTGAGCCACAACCTGGAAACAGGAAGTAACAGGAGTTTATGAATACCTTCATAAAATCTAATATAATCTCAATAAGAAGCATAAATTTACTTTGAACACAAATAATATTATTAAGACTCAGTTGGGCCGCACGGCGGTGGCGCACGCCTTTAATCCCAGTACTCAGGAGGCAGAGCCAGATGTATTTTGTGAGTTCGAGGCCAGCCTGGTGTACACAGCAAGATCCAGGACAGGCTCCAAAGCTGCACAGAAAAAAAAAAGAAAAAGGAAAGACCGGTTGGAAAGCACTTGCTAGTGTATACAAAGCGCTGGCTTCCATTCCCAGCAGAAACACGGCCTCATGTGTGGGGGGACTTGGGAGGTGGAGGCAGGAAGATCAAGAGTTCAAGTTCAGATTCAGTTATACAGCAAGTTCTAGGTCAAGATGGACTACATAAAACCCTTCCTCAAACAATAACAACAAAAAGAAACCCAGGTCCAAACGAAGACTTTTCCATGTACTTCGCTGACGATGAGGAAAGCCAGACTGCACTAACACATGACAGTCACAGAAGCAATTGCTGATAGCAACTTAAAGAAGGAGCACGGCAGTTATCCAGATGGTGGTCTTGGTGGTGTGGTCAATAAAGAAAGGCCTCCCATTTGGTGTATGCCGGACTTCCCAACCTTTAGGAAGGAATCTTTGCTCAGTGTTAGATGGCGGATTCCCCTGTTGAGCAGGGTCACTGGTGGGGAGCTGTGGCTAAAGGCCTGTGCAGCTCTGGCTCGATGGTAGCTGACTGGTCTCTGCTGTGGCCTGGCATATTAATTAAGTCAGACTGAAAAACTATAGAGAACTCACAAATAACATAATTAAAATAGCTAGCTTAACCCATGAAGAGAAGGCACTCTCGTAAAGCAGTCCTAACATTTACTTTTTATGATGTGGAGGTGGTGTGTGTGTCGTATATGGATATGAGTGCAGGGGCCTGTGGAGAGAGTAGAGGTGATGGGACTAAACTTGAGTCCTCTGGAAGAGCGGCCAGAGCTCTTAACTGCTGAGCCAGCCCTCCAGGCCCAAATCACCAACATTCTAATCTTTTTTCCCCGAATTTTAAGTAAAGTTTTCTATCAATCTGTTTTTATAATAATTTAGTCAACTGAGTTATACTAATTTTCTCAGCTAACTAAAACCCAGTAAGATGTCTGTTACCCACTGTGGGCACATCTGCCAGCAGCCACAGCTGACAGCCTCTGTAGCAGAGCTGTGAGGTACAGTGCCTAGGGCAGAGAACTAGCCTTGCCCGCTAAGACTCACAGTGGGACAGCCCAGCACAGAAGCGGCTTTAGCCAGGGAGACGGGGAAGTGGGCAGAGGGACTTGCTGCCAAGCCTGAGGATCTGAGTTTGATTCCCCAGAACCCACATGGCAAGAGGACCAACTCCTGTAAGTTGTCCCTTGATCTACACAGACACAGACACACACAATCACCAAGACTACCCATTAGCAAACTATCTCTCAACATGGGCCCAGGGAGATGGTTCCATGGATAAGACATTCCATGGGTGTGAAGACCAGAGTTCATATCCACAGTACACACAAAAAAGCTAGGTGGGCACGGCGGGCAGCTGATGGTCCCGGTGTCTGAGAGAGACCAGATCCCAGCCAAAACTCCAAATTCAGCACAAGAGCCTGACTCAGTAAATAAAATGGACAGCAACTGGGAAATACACATGGTGTCACCTTCAGGCCTCCACACATGCATGCACTCTTGAATGAATGAACACAGACGTACACACACACACACACACACACACACACACACACACACACACACACACACACACACACTTTTCTCACATGCATTCACGCAACACCACAATCACCGGAAGTCCATGCATACACTGGACTAGACTACTACTCTGTTCTCCTACGCCCGATTGGAGTCGACAGGAAGTGTGCTGCCTGAGCTCACCCGGGAAGCTGGAAGAAGACCCACTTAGAGTGCAGAGTACCTGCATGGTGGGCTTGGCCCACGTGGTTGTTTTGGTATTGTGGTCTACGTAGTAGGCCCGTCCTTTTTCATCTTGTTTTTCTTCCCAACCTGGTGGCAATCCAGATGAAGTAGGCAAAAGCTAACGGTAACAAAAAAACTCCGTGTTAACCAGGGAGAGCTCCTGATGGAAGCTCCTGGCCTTTCTTTACTGCTAGCACTCTGAAACAAACCCTTATTTTATTTTGGACTAAAATCACTCACCACAACAGAAAATGGGCAGATGATACATTATAAACAATGTATTTAAATCGTATTTTAAAATATATAAAAAAACAGCAGTTCACTTGGGAAGAAAGAAAACACACAATGAACATGATTAAACATGTGAACACTAGAAGCCATATACTTAGGGACACACACACACACATGCACGCAAACACACACACACACACACACACACGCAAACACACATGCACGCACACACGCACGCGCACACACTGATGAGATTATTACTAACGCTGGCCCACTTTGCAGATTGTAAATTGAGACTGCATCTAAGGAAACAGCTGGTATGTGAACAGAAGCACACTAACCCCAGAAACCCCATTTAAGTGCAGGCAGGCAGAGGCAGGGCATCTCTGTGAGTCAGCCTCATCTGCCAAGTGAGTTCGAGGCCAGCCAGGACTACATAGTGAGATCTTGTCTCTGCTTACACATGCTCTGGTGGGATAGAGGAAGTCAGACAAGACAGGATGTGGATCCCAAACCAGAGTAACAGGGTAGTCCCTCTATGGCTTCTATGATTTGTTGTCATGGTGACGAGGCCAGTGGCCCTTAATCCTTAGCACAGGATGAAAGGAATCTGTTGTGGGATAATCTTTTTACACACTGTAAAGATGTGTCCCTGTCTAAGGCACCTTTTGATTAGTTTAATAAAGGGCTGAATGACCAATAGCTAGGCAGGAAAGAAAAGGTGGGACTTTCGGGGAGAGAGAGGAGTTTAGGAAGAATCCAGTCTCACGGGAGATGCCAGGCAGACTTGGAACAAGTTGGACATACAGAATGGGAGAGAGAGGTAAAAGTCATGTGGCAGAACATAGATCACTAGAAACGGGTTACACAGATTAATAGAAACGGTTAATTTAAGTTGTAAGAGCTAGTTGAGAACAAGCCTAAGCTAAAGGCCAAGCTTTCGTAATTAATAAGAAGTCTCCATGTCATTTGTAGGCTGGCAGTCCCACAAGAAAGTCTCACTACAGGAATGGTTTTCAGTAGAGAACCGTCTTCTGAAGACAGGTAAGCCATTCCTGAGCTGATGATTCTGGAGCCTAAACATCCCCATGCTGTGATTCCATGAACGCACAAACCTCATTCTCCTAACTGAGTGTGAGGATTGGTGGGAAAGTGAGGAGGGACTCCCACGAGAAGCGTAATGTGCAGAGAGGAGAGAGAAAGAGAAACAGGACTTTGAGGATAGCCAGGAGTTGGGAAGAAGACAGCAGGTGGCAGGCAAGGAAGGAGGGCTGAAAAGGCAGAAGTTTAATTCTATTTGGAGAAACAAGAGGGGCTGGGGACAGAGCTGCATCGCTGGAGTGCTTGTCGAGCGAGCAGAAGCTAGCTGTTTGATCCCCAGCACAGCACAAGTCAGGCATGGTGGCCTCGGCCTGGAATTCTAGTTCTTAGAAGATGGAGGCAGGAGGGTCAGGAGATCCTGTCACAAATGAAACCAAAGTGACCACACAAAGTAGTGAGACCTTGGTATAAAGAGGGGAGTAGGAAAGAAGACAGAGGTGACAGATGACCGTTAAATGCCAGGGGTCTCTGCTGAGTGGGGACCGAGACCACCGGAGAGGAGGCGCCAGGAAAGGAAAACTCCACCCTGGCCACTGGTACACACACTGGCCTCCGAGATGGAGGTCTCTGACTAGACGCCTCACACACAGGGCAGAGCTGGCTGCTGGGTATCATGTATGAGGTGGCAGTGGTCTAGCAGCTCCCAGCAGCACAGAGGCCCAGCTGAGAAGCCAAATCCCACCCACCGTCATCAGCAGAGGGCCTGCTTTACATGAGCAACAGTTCTGAGGTTTGACTTCCAAGATTGTACCCTGTGTCTCCTCAGCCCTGCTCGGCAGTCACTCACACTCAGTGTTGAGCTATGCAATAATTAAAAAATGACCGAGTCTTTTATCTTTCACTCTTGGCTGAGGGGAGAGGAGAAAACTTACCACAGGAAGTGCAGGCTGTTCCTCAAAGATACAGGCTTGCAAGCCGCCACTTCCGCTGGACTGATTCTTGAGGGAGGAAACAGGTAAGGCTTTAGGTCTTCCCTCAGAGCAGACAAGGATGAGGGTGATGGTGATGGAGCAAAGAAAGGCCGCTGAGCTCAGGGAGGCCCACAGGAGGATGTCTTCCTTCTCTCCTCCCTCTACCCGCTCTGTGTGTGCACTTTCTCCTGACCCCTCTGCTGGACCTGGATCTTCCTGTGCTAACTCATTCCCTCAGCCTCGGCAGACTTTCTAATTAGTGCTCAACACATTCACTTTTTCTGATGGTGAGGGTGTGGCTCCTGCTCTCCCTAAATCAAATTCTCCCCATTTGTCACCTTAATGCCTTCACAGTGATAAAAACTTCCTGCTGCCGCCAGAGGGCTGCTCGAGTCCCTTGGTTCTCTGGCTGCAGCCTCCTACACAACTTCAGCTACCACTCGATGTACAGCACCAAACACAGCACTCCCGCCCTGGGCCGCCTCTTCCTCATCTCCAGTCACATCCAGCCTCACAGTCCACCACTGGGCATTCCACTCCAATGACTTATTTCCCAGAAATCCTATACTCCCTCATTCTCTTTCCCTTGATACACAAGCTCTTAACACTAACTGAAATATCTTGTATTTGTTATTAAATGACATCCAAACTTATAAACACACATGAAATCAGAATATCCTACACTGTATTGTTTATGGTAACACAGATGGTAAACAATCTAAGTTCATCACAACAGGAAAACAGTGGATACTTTCAAGACAACTTGTACAAAAGCCATACCAGAACCTGAAGATTGTTTCTGGTGATTTTAAAAGAAGTACATCGATATTCATGGAAACAGTCCAATCAGCAAGTGAAAAAAAGTCCATAAAGGCATATGTAAGATGATCTCACGGGGATGAGGCTGTGGCTCAGAACAAGGGCACATGCTCTGTAAGCATAAGGCTGAATTTGATTCTCACACCCCAAACCAACCAACCCACCAACACAAAACAGTAATTAATACACATACAAATAGACCATTTACAATTACGTAGAGGGGTTGGAGAGATAGCTCAGTAGGTAAGAGTACTTGCTCCTCTTTCAGAGGACCAGATTTTGGAATCCAGCACCTATCAGGTGACTCACAACTACCTGTAACTCCAACTTAAAGGGATCTGATGCCCTCCTCCAGCCCCCACGGGTAAGACACTCAAGTGCACAAACCCGTATACAGATACACAGATGTATACACATATACATTAAAAATAAATTTGTAATTTTTTTAAAAGTATATGTGTATACATGTATGTTTATGAATTTATCTAAAATGTTTAGGATACTATATCGCAAGCCATTAAGAGTCACCAAGGGAACATAATTTCAAGTTAAGAAGGGAGATCCAGTTATTGTTTTTAGACCTCAATACTGTCTCAGGTTTAAACACAAGGTAAGAATACTCTTAACTGGTGACACTTGTACATGGCCTAAGCATGACAAGTCTATGACATCACACCTGGTTTTTACTTTACATGGGTTCCAAGCATTGTCCTCAGGGACTCACATCTGCATGGCAAACACTTTACTCAGTCTCTCCCCATACCTATTCTGGAAGTCAAAAAATTCTTTGCCCAGCCCCGACTAATTAATTAAATGAATGGGAAACAGAACAGGCAGGCGGGAGAAAGAAAGGGAAGGAGGCAGATGGGCAGGTGAGCCGATGGACACTCGTATAGGAAGGTACACTCAGCTGTGTAGGGAAGCTTCTTGAAGAAGGTGCTGGAAGTTCGCAACCATTGCCCACTGAGGTCCAACACTGAATAATGGTTCCTCTAACTGGTGTGAGCGTGGCCATGGACAAGTAGGAACAGCTGGATTCCAATGACACCTGACTGATGGCAACAGGCAGCTGCAGAACTGGCCCACAGAGCACAGCGATGACCCCTGTACTAGAATGGAGGTCGTGTGCAAGCCAGGGCTTTTGTCCGCTTTATTGCAGATGGACTCCCAGAGAGGGATTATTTATGGTGCCTAGCACCTGGCCAGCCACAGGAACAGTCACTTGCTGACCAAAGCAGAGAAAGACCACAGCATCCAGAGTCAACTCTGCCTTCTACTGCATCTGCATCACAATACAGATTAGAGAAGACAGCCAGAGTTTCTCACAGGAGTAGTGTATGCTGGGATGCTTGCTCCTGGACCCTGCAGACAGCCAGTGAAACCATCCCCTCATTTCATCCACAGGGCTCTTATTTACACATGTATACTGGTGACATCTGTGATGTAATGGTAAAACCTCACAGAGAGGATGAAGAGATGGTTCCGTGGCTAAAAGCTCCTTTTGCTCTTCCAAAGGAACTGAGCTCAGTTCCAGCACCCATAAGGTATTTCACAACTGTCTCCAACTCCAGTTCCTGGGGATGGATCAGTTAGTTACTCACTCTGTCCTCTGAGGACATGAGGCATGTACATGGTACACATACATGCAGTCAGAACACTCATACACATAAAAATAAATCAGAACAAAACAAAACAAAACCATTCATATAATCAAAAGAGACAAGTATCCTCCACCACCCACGAACTAGCCTGGCACACACAGGTAGGGTCGTGGCAAACTCAAGATGCCTTCTAAATTGTGCCTAAACACAGGCAAACTAAAAACCCTAGCTAAGCCACAAAACAACGAACAGCTGCCCCATCGGGGCAAGTAAGTGACCACTCTTCTCTCCTGCTCACTGAGTTAGTGTCATCTCAGGGGAGATCTGAGACATCCAAGCACACAGCTCTCTCCACTCCCGAACAGCATGCAGACTGAAGTCCTCCTGTCTCCTTAAACCCTCCTTACAATTACCCAACAAGGAGCCAACATCACTGTCCTCCCTGGCAGCCTTTCACGAAACATGTGTTCTCTCTTGCTGAAATGTGCAAGGAACTCAGCTCTGGCTTCAGTGTTTCTGGTGGGTTTGCCTGGAGGATGGTGAGTAAGGGACCTTGTGACTACAGTGCACATTAGGATTATCCACACTCTGCTCCATACTGTTAGTGGGATAAGTGAAAAAACCACTACACTATAAAGTCCCAACATGTTGTGATTATATGCTATTTAAGACAAAGGTTTACATAAACAGAGCTGTTGAATCATACTTATAATATGAAGTCACAAAGCCATGACAAAATCTAAGGTATCTTACTGAGCTGGTGACTGGCTGGCCAGTGGCCGGATTTCCACACACAGCGAGTCTGGTATCTAACTCCTCTGCAAGGCGAGCCTGTACATCTCCGTGACCCGACGGAGGTGATTGGAAGGCCTGACCGCTATACACAGCGTTCTCATCTTCGCGTATAATTTCCCAATTCTAAAAAGAGCAGAATCCACTTGAGCCACACGGACACTCATCCACTGCTTCAAGACGTGCTGGAAACAGGAACAAGACAAGGGTTCATACCTCAGGGGACTCCCGGTTGTCGGCACTGTCCACTTCCTCCGATATCTGCCGCCTGGTGGTAAATGCCCGCTGAGCCTGCAGCTGAATGTTTCCATTCTCAGCATCTGTGGGGTCATCCCTAGGGCAGAAGTGTAAGAAGGCATCACTCCTGCCTGACCACAGTTAGAATCCTAACCAAAGAGTATGCGCGCGGTTAGTAAATACTTTGATTAAATGGACTGGTTTTGGTCAAAAGCTATTTTTTAAAAAATTTTATTTATATGCATTGGTGTTTTGCCTGCATGTATATCTGTATGATGGTGTCAGGTACTCTGGACCTGGAGTTATAGATAGCTGTGAAATGCCATGTGGGTGCTGGGAATTGAACCCGGGGCTCTGGAAGAGCAGTCAATGCTTTTACTGCTGAGTAATCTCTCCAGCCCCAAAGCTACTTCAACATGTTGATTCCCTTGTCAGCACACTGGTACCTGGTCTGGGGGACTAGGGCAGAGGGAGAAGTGGAAAGACTCATGCAAATGTGTAAGGAACAGCTGATATTTCCTTCATCACTGTGCCTAGGGTAGTGTTGCAGTGACCAGAAGCAACTCAGGGAGGAAAGGGTTTATTTATTTTACAGGTTCCAGTCGTCATCAAGGAAGTCAGGGCAGGAACTCAAGGAGGGGAGCTGCTGAATGCCATGCTTCCCCATGGCTGGCTCAGCCTGCTTTCTCATACAACCCAGGACCACCTGCTCTGGGGTGGCACCGCCCACAGTGAGCTGGGCCCTCCCACATCAATCATCAATCTGCATGTCCACAGGCAGATCGGATGGAGACAATGCCTCAAATGAGGGTCCCTCTTCCCAGCTGACTCTTAGCACGCCTCACGCTGACAAAACTGACCACCACAGATGACTTTAGCACTCATTTACTATTACTTTACCATCTCGGCATGAGACTGAACCCAGGGCAGTGCTACAGTCACATCATAACCCGATGAAGTGAATAACTGATAGAACTGGTCTATTAACAAGGAGCGGTACTCTCCACGCACGTGCACAAGGCCAACAGCAGATGGTGCAAGGACCCCATCCCAGGCAGCTTAACAGATCAGGATCGGAGTCCAGGAAAGGTACAAACCTTAGGCATTTCTGAGTTACATTATCCCAGTTACTTCTGGTTAATAGAAATAGGCTATCAAATCGGGAATTTTATTCCCATGTTCAGGAACCAAAACGTTAATTAAAACATTACAAGTACTTCTCTGTGTATGTGTGTGTACCTGTAATGTCAGGGGCATGCATGGGGTGGTCAGAAAACAACTGGCAAGGACTGCTTCTCGAGTTCTACCTTGAGGGTCCTGAGGATCCAACTCAAGTTGTCAGGTTTACTCACTGAGCCATCTGACTGGCCCCCAGAACATTAATTTGTTTGCTGTCATATTAGACCAGGACAGTCAGAAAACTTTACAAATATACTTATTGGGGTGGGTGCCGCCTGTCTCTGCCTCTCAAGTGCTGGGATTAAAAGCGTGCGCCACTACCCCCAGCTCTTAGATGTAATTACTTTTAAGTTGACACATTAAAAAAATTGCATATCCTGGGTCTGGAGAGACAGCTCAGTGGTTAAGAGCACTGGCTTCTCTTCCTGAGGACACAGGTTCAGTTCCCAGTACCCACAGGGTGGCTGAACAACTGTCTGTAATGCCAGTTCCAGGCAATCACATGCTCTCTTACACGCAGACACACAAGTGGGCAAAACAGCTACGTACACAAAATAAAATAAAAATTAACAACAAAAAGTACACTGGACAGTTTGGGGTACTGTGTGATTGATGGGTGTACATACTATGATGACTTCGTAACAAGCCAATCTCAGGCCTGGCACACTTCCTTCGTGGGTCACTGCTGGGGGCCGAACACTTAGCTTCTCCTCTTGCTTGTACAGACCAAGCACAGCCTCTTACTAGTCCACAGAGCACAGGAGCTGGGTCCACCTGTCCCTCTGCCCACAGCCACTGCTTCCCCAACGAACTCAGCAACCAGATCATATTACTCTGCTGTGGCTGGTAAAAACATTAATTGTGACGTTTCCTTCTAAGGAATGTTTAAAAAATTTTCTTTTCCATCTGATTTTTTTTTTGTTTTTTTTGGTTTTTCGAGACAGGGTTTCTCTGTGTAGCTTTGCGCCTTTCCTGGAACTCACTTGGTAGCCCAGGCTGGCCTCAAACTCACAGCGATCCGCCTGGCTCTGCCTCCGAGTGCTGGGATTAAAGGCGTGCGCCACCACCGCCCGGCCCATCTGATTTTTACACCAGCTACAGTGAAAGACACACGCATGATTCTGCTCAGCAGGTCTGCCTGTCAAAGACAAGAGGGTGGCTTTGCAGAATCTCCTACTTTCCAGTCGGAAGGTGATACCTCTGTGGCGGAGAGTGTGACCACTGGTCTACTTTGGAGGGACTTGAGGACAGGCCTGACGTTCTTGGGAAATACCAGATGTACAGTATCAGGAGGTTAATGGACTAGTAAGAGAAACTAAGTGTGTGTCAAAGACCCAAATACTGAGAACAGCCACGTGAGGCCTCAGGAGTAGGAGGACAGACGGGGTTTGACACGGAAAAGTCTGGAAGCATGGGCAGTGTTTGTTGGTTTGCTCATTTGTTTTGGCGCTGGGGACTGAACCTGGGGTCTTGAGCTTGCTAGCCAAGCTTTACTAGTGAGCTAAATCTCCAACCACAGATGTACAATTTGTACTAAAAAAGTCAATTAAGGAGATATCAAAGGTCATTCTGTCCTTGCTCTCTCCATGTGGGAAGGTTTGTGTCCACTGTCCAAACTGGAGAAGGATCTTGAATATAGGACCATTATTAGTGGTTCCTCTATGATTTAAAAAGAATTTATATTTTAAAAATGACGTACTATGGTTGTACGTCAGCAGCAGAATCCTTGCTCAGCATGTATGAGACACTTATTCAATCTCCAGCAGCACAAAAACATTACAGAAAATTTTAACAGCCTACCACAAGAATTTGTATGATATGTGCAAGTACTTAGTGCACAGACATACAAGCAGGCAAGACACTCATACACATACAATACCTAAGTCCAGGCTGGTCTCAACCTTGCTGTAGTTAAGAATGACCTTGAACTTCTGATCCTCCTGCCTCCAGCTCTAAGTGTTGGAAGTACAGGTGTGCAGCACCATATCCACTGTATGTGGTGCCAGGGATAGAGCTCAGGCCTCCTGCATGGTGGCAAGTCCTCTACCACCTGAATCACAGGTGCACCCTCAGGTTTTTTGTGTGTTTGTATAGATGTGAGCATGGCATGGCACACATTTGGTGGTAAGAAGACAGTTTCTGAGATTTGGTCCCTCTTTCCACGATGTGGGTTGTGGGGATCACACCTGGGTTGGTGGCAAGTGCCCTTCATACACTAAGCCATCTTGTTGGCACTCAAATGATTTTAAATATTATCAAATCATTAAAAAACAAAAAACAAAACCACCTCAGCTTTTCAGTAACACTTATCTTACGGTTTAGTGACCCCTGTGTCTCTATGAACCTATTCAAGACATGGCATCAACATGCAAAGTAGCAGCAAATATATCCAGATGGGCACATACTCAGGGTTAGGCCTTTTCCACTGTGTTCGTCGAGATTCATGGTTTACATAGTAGGTCCTCCCAAGGACATCCTGCCTCTCTTCCCATCCTGGAGGGAGGGGAGAAGGTTCTGGATGCTCCAAATGGCTAGCAGCATCTGGTTGGTCCAAAACAACCCAGTCAGGCTGAAAAACAGAATGGAAGCAATTAAGTTACACTTGATATTTTTTTTAAATGTATAAATTAAGCCGGGCGGTGATGGCGCACGCCTTTAATCCCAGCACTCGATAGGCAGAGCCAGGCGGATCTCTGTGAGTTCGAGGCCAGCCTGGTCTACAGAGTGAGTTCTAGGAAAGGCGCAACACTACCCAGGGAAACCCTGTCTCAAAAATCCAAAAAAATAAAAAATAAAAAAATAAATAAAATGTATAAATTATAAATGAAGGAAATTAAAGAAGAATTTCACATGTGCAATCCAGAAATTATGCATAAACAAAATTAGTGCATGCTCAACTCTCGAGGCCAGAATGTAACCGAGGCTTTCCCGCAAAATGATAAGCATTTAAATTTTGAGAATGCTTTAAAACTTTTCAAAAGGCTTAAAATACAAAACAGAAATAAAACAACAACAAATCAACACCCCCTCCACCCGCAAAAAATGAACCACCAACAGAAAAGCAAACCCCAAACCCTTTAAAAACCTGAAGGAGGAGGGTGACGTCGAAGGTACGGCGGAAATGAGACACACAAGAGAGACCAGTTTGACCCTGGCCACTGCCTAAGGCCCAAGCAATTGAACAAGGCAGCGAAGGGGCCTCGCTGGCCATCATCTCTCTAGAGAGATGCCTGAAACACCAGAGACATGAAAAGAGCTGTCAACTGAGGTCCAACCCTCAGAGGCCCAACAGAGACAGGAGGGTCACTGAGAAACACGCACTACCCCGAGGTGTGTGGTGATGGGCACACCACTCTGATACTCATGTCTGCATTTTCGTTGTCCCCGGACACAGGACAGGCATTGTGGTCAGGTCATAACAAAGTTAAATAAGGGATTAAAAAAAAGAAATGCACAGGGATTTGGTTAAGACTAAAAAGAGACAAAATGCATAATGCCCTAAAGGTAGTTAAAGTAAGGAATATATGACATGCTTTTTTTTTTTTTTGGGTTTTTCGAGACAGAGTTTCTCTGTGTAGCTTTGCGCCTTTCCTGGATCTCGCGCTGTAGACCAGGCTGGCCTCGAACTCACAGAGATCCGCCTGCCTCTGCCTCCCGAGTACTGGGATTAAAGGCGTGCGCCACCACCGCCCGGCTATGACATGCTTTTATATTAAAAATCTGTTAACACAGCCTGGAGACATTGCTCAGTGATTAAATACATATTATTCTTGCAGAGGGCCTGAATTTGGTTCCCAGAATCCCCATCAGGTGGCTAACAACTGCCTATAGCGCCAGATCTGGGGACCTGATAGCTTGGGGCTGGCTCTGCAGGTACATGCACTCAAGTACTTATAATTACACACTCACACAGACACCTAATAATAAAAATAAAAAATTTAAAAAATCTCTTGCTGGGTGGTGGTGGCACACATCTTTAATCCCAGCACTCAGGAGGCACTCTGTGAGTCTGAGACCAGCCTGGTCTACAAAGAGTGTTCCAGGACAGCCAGGACTACACAAGAGAAACCTCCCCCCCACAGGAAAAAAAAAAAAAAAACACAACAGGGGGCCGGGGTATGTAACTCAGTAAAGCCTGTGGATGAAGCCCTGGGTTCCAGCCACAATACCACATACATCCGGCATGAAGGAGCATCTCCCCAGGCAAATTTTGTCAAAATTCTGACAAAAATTATTATATGTTAGAGATACTTAAATAAAGAGTCAATTCTCAAGTTCAAATGGCAATACAAACAAGACGTAACCAACATCACTGTAAGGAAGAAGAGAGGCATGGAAATGAATCTGTAAGAAAACGGTCTGGGCTGCAGTCATTAGCGCTGAGCAGGGTGCTTCACAGAGCTCAGAAGAACAGACCAAGAAACCCAGAAAGAACAAAGTTCAGAGGAATTCAGCATAATGACAAACACATTTTTAATCTGTGGGGAAATAGGAAGATTGTTTAGATAATGGGCCGTTGTTAGGAAAAAAGTTAATTTGGATCCCTACCTTATACCAGAATACACTACAAACTGAGCAATATTCAAATGTTAAAAAAAAAAACAAATTTGGAAAAATTTAAAGCAATGTATTCCAAGCCCAGAAAAATGTTAAATATGACAGCAAATTCAGAAAGCACAAAGACTTATACACTTGACTTGAAAACCATGAACATATGTGTGCCCAAGCCCTGCTAAACCAAAGCAAAGGAAGACCCTCTAGAACAGTCTCCGGTACTATGACAGATAAAAATAATTCACAAGAGCCTGTGTTGCATGTGTGGACAGATGCAGGCTGGGAAGAGAATACTGCACTGTTGGAAGGCTGCACCCCACAACAGGGGGGTCAAGAAGAGATGTGGGAGGAAGGGAAAGAGGAGACAGGAGAATTTACCTGGTCGAGGATTCTACCTGGAAAGCTAAAGTAAGTCCCTTCTCACTTATTCCTATCTCTTTTTCTTTTTACTTCTATGGGAGCTGGTGCCTCATTTTCCCCACTGTTCACATTCCATTTTCTTCTTCTCCTCTCTCACTGCATCTTGATTTTTTCTGTTTCCTTATCCTGTACATGATCCTAATATGGAACCTTATAGAAGAACGTCTCATCTTGTGTATACAGGGACTTGGAGGAAGACGGAGGGAGCATCGACTGTGACCAAGGCACAGGCACACATGCAGGGGTATATCGCAATGAATGCGGCCTTCTGCGACTGAGACAGGAACAAGAAAGGGTACTTAAAAAAGGACCTTCCCACTGCGGGAAGTAACTATCAGAGATGGGGAGATGGCTCAGTGGTTAAAGGAGCCAGCTGCCCTTTCATTCCCAGCACCCACACTTGGTGACTGAAAAGTGTCTCAGAAGCCGGGCGGCAGTAGCGCATACCTTTAATCCCAGCACTAGGGAGGCAGAGCCAGGTGGAACTTGTGAGTTCGAGGCCAGCCTGGGCTACAGAGCGAGATCCAGGACAGGCACCAAAACTGCATGGAGAAACCCTGTCTTGAAAAACAAAACAAAAAAAAAAAGGTGTGCTTCTAAGCCCAGTTCCAGGAGATCTGATGTCCTCTGGCCTCCACAGGCACCTGCATGCACAGTGCACATAACTCAAGCAGGGACATACACACACAAATGAATAAAAAACTTAAAAAAAAAAAAAAAAGGAATATAAGACTATTTAAAGCTAGGACATAGTACCAAATTCTTTCTTTATTTCATTAGTGTGTCTATGTGTGAGAGTGTGTTTGTGAGAGAGGAAATAAAACTGGGGGTGGGGTGGGGAAGGAGAGGTGCTTGCATGCCATGTATGTAGAGATCACAGGACACATTTTGGAGTTGGTTCTCTCCTCCTGCCTTGCTGGGGATGATCTTTCCTGCCATCTGTGCCACTGGGGAACCCACACTGACTGGCTGGCCCTCGGGCCTCCAGGCCCCCTCCATCTTTCCATCTCGCCGTAGGAATGCTATCACATGGGTTCAGAGGATGGTCTTCAGGTTTGCACAGCCAGTGCTTTATCCACTGAGCCAGCTCCCCGGCCCCAAAATGCTTCCTTGAAAAATGTATATTTCTCTATGAAAGATCTGCTTTAGTGGTTTCCATGTAAATTCAATAAGAAAAAAGAAAAAATGTAACTTAATTTAGGGCTTTAAAAACTGAAATGGTTCAAGTTTAGTAAGTATAATTGTACCCCAAATACTACTGGAAAAGATAATGTTTTCAGTCTTTGATTAGAATTCCTCTCTAAGAAACACGGATTATCTATTTTTCACATGAAATAACTTTCCAACGAGTCAAGGAATGCTAATTACTAGTTTCAAAGCCAATATGCAAATACCTACAATTTAATGGAGTCAGAGGGGCCAGAAAGTGAGGACAGGGTACACAGACAAACATGTCACCCTCATCTTGTAAAATCCACACAGATCACTCTAAGGCACTAGGAGCACAAAAGGAAATGTTACAGGCTGTTCAGAGCCACAACGCATTCAGAAATGTAAGCTGCCCAGGGCGCCTCTCTCCATAATTACAATTGTTTTCTTCCAATAGCAGAATTTTAAATATTTAGTCAAAAACTAGATGTCAAAGACCCGGGCAAGACTTCTCGGGTCTTTGGCTGCCCATAAGATAAATAAGCACATTTGTGTGTCTGAATTCCTTGGCCTTTTCGTAAATAAACGACACGCTTACATCTCCTGAAATTATAAGGTGGATTCTGAAGGAATTCAAACATTGCAATGGGAGGCTACAGCATGAAGCAAAGCCAGTCTCTACCACAGAAGCGAACTGTGAATGAGGTGCCTGTGATCCGTGTGCAGGCAAACCCCAGAACAGGTTCTGAAAGAATGAAACATGGCTAAATTTTCAAGTCTCTAGGAAAGTCGTCTCTTTCTTCATAGCAGCCTTCATTTCAAACGGAATTCCACAATGCAAGATACCCTCTGCACTACAATGCCACGTACACACATTTATACCTCTCCCCACAAATCTCTGGAAACCTTAAAATCTGGGACAGTGAGACGGTTCCAGAGGTAAAGGCATTTGCTGTCAAGTTTTATGATCTAAGTTCCGTCCCTGAGACCTTCACAGGGGACAAGAGAATGAACTTTCAGAAGATGTCCTGTGACTTCTACTAGAGAGCGCGCGCGCGCGCGCACACACACACACACACACACACACACACACACGCACGCACACACACACACACACACACACACCCCACACACACCCCCACACGCACGCACGCACACGCATGCACGCACACACACACGCGCACACGCACGCACACACGCACGCACACATACACGTACACACACACACACACACACACACACACAGGGAAGAAGGAAGGGGTAAGGGACTTAGGGAGGGAGGCAGGGGGCAAGGAGGGAAGGAAAATGAATGAATAGGAACAGGGGCTGGAGAGATGGCTGCTCTTCCAGAGGACCCGGGTTCAATTCCCCGTACCCACATGGCAGCTCACAATTACCTGTAGCTCCAGTCCCAAGGGATCTAAAACATCACCTCTGACCTCAAGAGTACCAGGTGTACACACATAGTATGTGGACATACATGCAAGCTAAACAACCACACACAATAAACAAACAAACCAGCTTAGGGGTCATCTGTATTCTGTGATTCGAAAGAACAGCTTAGGGGTCATCTGTATTCTGTCATTCGAAAGAACAGCTTTCATTCTATTTTCAGACATTCTCCCACAAAGCAAAAATCGCATTAGTGAATTAAATAAATACCAAAAGCTTTGCTCATTCACTCCCTGCTCTAGAACATTATTTTTCTTTCTTTTTTTTAAAAGATTCATTTATTTATTATGTACACAGTGTTCTGCCTGCACGCCAGAAGAGGGCACAAGTTCTCATTATAGATGGTTGTGAGCCTTCATGTGATTGTTGGGAATTGAACTCAGAACCATTGCAAGAGCAGCCAGTGCTCTTAACCGCTGAGCCCCAAGAACGTTTATCAAGGTATCTAGGCACATGAGCTAGAGCCCAGATCTCACGGAGGTCCGGGATTCACAGCTATCGTGAGGATCAGAGCAGACCCTCAGCTGAAGAGATAACAACTGGGGAGGAACACACACAAAACAAAGAACAGTCAGGGGACAAACCCTGTTTGCAGTTGAAAAGATGGTGCTACCTTTCCATGAACTCTGCCTATGAAGGACCCTAGGAAGGAGGGGATTTGTCTTTCAAACCTGGGGAAGAAGCCCTGCTTCCCCACAAAAGAACAACCTAATAGATCCAGAGGTCAGTGTCTCTCACAGGTCCCATGGCCACAGGGAGCAACACTTACACCTGCTGCTCAGTTGTCCAAGCCAACTCCACCCGAACGCTCTCTTCCTCCACATACCCAGATGAATGGAGCTCTGTCCAGGCACCCAGCTTGGACATTGTTATTCCTGACATCCATGAAACTCATGAACTTATACTTATTTCAAGTAAACATGACCAAAAAAGTAACAAGAATTACATCTCGTAAGTTTCTTTTATAATAATGTAATTATATAATGAGATATAATAATTCTAATATAGTAAGATGTCTTATTTAGCTTTACAAACACTTAATCATTTTCTTATTCTATTTATTTATTTATTTTTTTGGTTTTTCGAGACAGGGTTTCTTTGTGTAGCTTTGCGCCTTTCCTGGGACTCACTTGGTAGTCCAGGCTGGCCTCGAACTCACAGAGATCCGCCTGCCTCTGCCTCCCGAGTGCTGGGATTAAAGGCGTGCGCCACCACCACCCGGCCATTTTCTTATTCTAAAGGAGACTACGATATGGTTTTGAAAAAGTAAACATAGTCAATGATGTAACTATAAACACTTGTGTTGGTAACTATTGCATTTCCTATTTTTTAACCTTTAAGTTTACCAACAGCAACCACTCTACAGAGCTATCTTCAGAGGAAAGAGCTGCTTAAGGAACATTTGTTCAAATCAAATCCCAGTGACTTTTATTTCGTGTGTTACTTTCTCTGAACAAGATTGCCTTTCTACCAAGTATGTGGAATGCCAACAGACAGGTCCTTGGCAGCGTCGTAAGCAGATTCCCTCGGAGGGACTCTCACCTCCTCCAACTCCTCGGCCGGATCGGCATTCTCCTCATCCGAGCCGCTGTTCTTCGGTAAGTAAGTCATTTTCAATCTCAGGTAACCTTTGACTCTTGACTTGTGGCTGCGGAAAAGAAAATAATTATTCACAAAACTTGAATACCAAGAAGAAAGTATTCGTTTGGTGAGTTTCTGGAAGACCTTGCTGGCTCTGTGGGGATCTACTAATCCCCATTCACGGTCAAGCTTCTGTGAAGATAGAAAACATTCATCAGAGAGAACAGGGGTGGAGAGAAAGGAAAGGGCTGGGGTGAAGAGGGAGAAAGGGAGCCCATTATACCACGGGTAAGATGCTTGGATGGGGGGCTGGAAAGATGGCTTAGCGGTTAAGAGCACTGGCTGCTCTTCCAGAGGACCCGGGTTCAATTCCCAGCACCCACATGGAAGCTCACAACTCTCTGTACCTCCAAGATCTGACACCCTCACACGGAGATACATGCACACAAAATACCACTGCACATAAAATTTAAAAAGATGCTTGGATGGTTAAGGGGAAGATCAGAGAAAACTCAGGCTCCTCAGTTAAGAGCTCCAAGCCGGGTGGGGGAGAGGGATGGGGGACAGTGGAAGCCCAGGTGGCTTTAGTGTGGGCAGCACACTCAGTGCAGATAGGAGATGCAGTTTATTCATTCATTCATTTAAGAAAAACACACTATACAGAGTTTCTAGCACTCGAAGGGCCGGCTACCAGGGCAAGCAAACAAGAGGGAAAATATTTGCTTAGCTGTTCCTGGTATGCACCCGTACAAAATTAAAGGAAGAAAAGAGATGCAGCTCCTAGACTTCTACAGGAATTAAATACAGGACTTCTCTCACAGAGAGCATAAATAGTAGCTCAACCACAAAGCATGGGCTCCTTTACTTTGTTTTATATTTATATTATAAAGACTAGGTTAAAGCAGTTATTTTAAATGAAAAAAGAATTAAGGGTCCATAATACACTCTTCAAATGCATTTCTTAGTTTGAAAGAAATCACGTAAACGCTACGGTTTCCCCAGATGTCCTCCCTCTGTTACTTGGACTCATGATGGCGAATCACGTGCTCTCAATCGATTTTACTTGGGTAATTGATTTTACATTTACAACTTAAAATTTTGGAGGCCCGGAAAGATGGCTCAGTGGTTAAGAGCACTTTCTGTTCTTGCAGAGGACCCAGGTTCAGTTCCCAGGATGCACATGGCAGCTCACCGCTGGCTGTAACTCCAGTCCCAGGGTATCAGACACCTGTTCGGGTGCACTGCATGCATGTGGGGCGGACATACACACACACATTCAGTAAAACATCGCATACATAAAACAAAACAAGTAGGTCTTTTTAAAAGATTACATATGGGCCGGGCGGTGGTGGCGCACGCCTTTAATCCCAGCACTCGGGAGGCAGAGGCAGGCGGATCTCTGTGAGTTTGAGGCCAGCCTGGTCTACAGAGTGAGTTCCAGGACAGGCTCCAAAGCTACACAAAGAAATCCTGTCTCAAAAAACCAAAGCCAGCCGGGCGGTGGTGGCGCACGCCTTTAATCCCAGCACTCAGGAGGCAGAGCCAGGCGGATCTCTGTGAGTTCGAGGCCAGCCTGTACTACCAAGTGAGTCCCAGGAAAGGCGCAAAGCTACACAGAGAAACCCTGTCTCAAAAAAAAAAACCAAAAAAAAACAAAAAAAAAACCCCAAAGCCAAAAACGACCAAACAAACAGAAAACATATCATGTAATTCAGTTCAGGAAAATGGTATTACAAGTATGTTACTTGGATTTTAAAATCTATGTTCTCTTCCTGCTATTTTCTCTGAATGTATGAGTCTTCTAAAATATTTTTTTAAATTAAAATCTTCAAAATGTAGTTAATTTTTCTTGAATTTGCTTTTGTGCCTATCAACTTGGACATTATGAATTACAACTATGTGATAAATATGGGGTAGGACATTATGAATTACCCCTATCTATGTGATAAATATAGGGGGTTGTTTTTCCTATTGTCTGTATCTCTTTAATAATTTTATTTGCAATGTGAACCAAGTATTTTACAGTTTTACAGATTTATTTTCTTTTTATTTGTATGTGCATCTATGTGTGTGTGTGTGTGTGTGTGTGTGTGTGTGTGTGTGTGTGTGTGTGTGTGTCCAAGAAGACCAGAGGAGGCCATCAGATCTCCTGAGACTGCAGTGGTAAGCCACCCAACATGAGTGGTGGGTCAACTTTTAACCACTGATCATCTCTTCAGATCACCTCAGTGTATTTTAAAATCTAAAATAACTAAAGCTTTTAAAAATACAGTATTTTTGAATTGCTTTTTTATAGGGTGTTTAAATCCTAGATTTTCAAAAGGGAGGGTAAAGGTTTAATGAAGATAACAAAGAACTTAATGTGTGTAGCTGTAGGAATAGCTTGATGGCTCAATCCCCAGAAGCCACATGGCAGACAGATTACAACAGTCTGTAATTCCAGTCCTAAGGGATCCAACACCCTCTTCTGGCCTCCTTGGGCACTGCACACACGTGGTACACATTTAGGTAGACACTTATATACATAAAATAGAGATAAACAAAAATCTCAAAAAACTTAAGCTTAATATACTATAACCTTGCATTACTCACCTTCTTGGATGAAGGACAAAATCCTTAAACGTATATGGTCTATCCATTTTCGGGTTTTCCGTCTAAAATGAGAAAGGGGATCAGGTATTTTCAATATTTATGATCCATAATGAAAGACATAACTGAAGAATGAGAAAAGGCAGTTATAGCTTTGCTCAGTGGCAGTATCACAGCTAATGAGGTTTACCCAAGGTGTGATCATTGTTAATTGAAAAAGAAAAAAAAAAGAAAAGACAGGTTTAACTTGTGAGGAAGGTGAGCAGATAACCGCAACAGCAGCAACACCAGCACTAGGTGGGGACCCAGCGGAGCAGGGACGTGCGGGGTGGGGGCAGGCGGGGGCAGTCAGGAGAGCAACACTGCAGTGTGGCAGAACACTGGCCCAGAGGAACATGGGATAGGTATAGTGTCAGCAGGCTGGCTTGGTTAGAGCATAGAGAGCATTCTAGAACAAAAACATCAACGGCCTGGAAGGCAAGAGTGGGTCCAATGTATTCCTGAAAGCTAAGGCACTCAACACTGCGCAGGGCCAGGCGTCGGCCATGATGGGGAGCCCCGGCTTCCCTCCACCTTCAAAGTTCCTCAGCCCTCTGCTTCCCATCTCTGCTGCTTGTACTAACCACCCTCCTACCTTGAAACTTCACTGACTCATGCATTTATAGGGAAGTCTCTCTATGAAGCCACCATGGCCTCAAAATAGATAGCCTCCTGCCTCAGCCTGCCACGTGAAAGAACTACAGGAACGGGCTACCTTTTTGGCGTTCTTTTCTTTGGTTCTTTCCACTCTCTCTTCTCACTCCCTTTGATCCACCCATGCTGACTAAGGTTTTCCATCTGGCCTTCTGTCTGGCTTATCCGGACAGTGAGAATCTCAACCCTCCTGCTTCTTTTCCCTACACAGTTGACTTGTGTGCTGCTACTAACCACTCCTGTAAACTTTCATTTTCCAACTTCCATTGAAATTAAACATGTCCAAACTGATGCACCAGAAGCCAGAAGAGGGCACTGGATCCCACAGGCCTGTGATTTCTGGTGGTTGTGAGCTGCCAGGCAAGTGCTGGGACTGAACTCAGGTCCTCTGTGACAGTGCTCTTTACTTGTAACCCCCTGAACATTTGATCCTGAAAGACTTCCTAAGTCCTTCCCACTGCTGTATTTCCAAGGCGGTTCTCAGGGTTCGGGGGTTCCACTGTTGCGCAGTGCCTTACTTCCTTCTGTGAGCCTAGGCTCTCGATGCTCTACTTAGAAGGGTACTTCCAAACCCTCTCCTTTAAATCCTGTTCTCATCGGCTAACAATCCCAGCGGGTCTGTTTCTTGTAGGAGTTCATATAAAGAAATCTTATAGAGAGTGAAATGGAAAATTGAGATGAATTTTAGGAAACAGCTCATACACTAAAGACTCACACTGGCAGTTATTAAATTAAAAATTAAATTAAATCAAAATTAAATTAAAAATCACAAACACAGGCCAGACAGCGATGTCAGCACTCAGGAAGCAGAGCCAGGTGGATCTCTGAGTTCGAGGCCAGCCTGGTCTACAGAGTGAGATCCAGGACAGGCACCAAAACTACACTGAGATACCCTGTCTCGAAAAACAAACAAACAAAAAATCACAAACACAAAACTATGGACACCTATACTAACCGGTAAAGGATAGAGAGGGACATCCACTTGACCCAGGAAATCATCTCTTGTCTGTAAAAGAAAGGAGAAACAGCATTACTGATATATTCAATTTCATTATTATGTTTTGAAGAGAAACTCAGCACCCACTCACAAAAAAGTAAGTTGTTTAATCCGCTGTAGCATGGAGGGAAAGTCAAGGAAAACAGTGCAAAGTCATGTGGCGCCATGTCTGGGATGGCGCGGCAACAGTAACAAGCCAGTCCTTCGGCACATACTGACGGTATCACTTAGGCAAAGTGCTAACCCCATGAATGCAGAACAGGATTGCAACGGAAACGGGAGGAGGCACACTGAACAAAGAACAGCGCTACGGAGGACTCAGTCACACAGAACACATGGAGTGCGTAGTCCCAAAGCAAACATCTGCCATGTTCTGTCGGGCGTGGGAGGTGGGAGAACCAAGGGTAGAGTCAGCAACATTACTGGAAAGTGAGAAAAACCTCATAAACAAAGATGATAGCTCTCCAAATCTCTGTATAAAGTCCACCTGACCCTCGCTGATCCCTTAAACTCACCCCTCGAGCCCCAGGTAAGGTAAAGGCTCAAAGGACTGAGTACTGACACCAGGCAATGTTCACCGGAGCAGAGGCAGCATTTATAATCCATCTGGTTAAAGTGCTAGAATGAGGGTGAGCACGCGTCAAGGAAAGAACACAACACACTCGCTCCATGAAGAACCATTCGCAGAGAAACTTGCTAGACATGAAACAATGGGGAGAATAGACAGGATGAGCCGGCGGTGGGGGCGCACGCCTTTAATCCCAGCACTCGGGAGGCAGAGCCACGCGGATCCTGAGTTCGAGGCCAGTCTGGTCTACAAAGCGAGTTCTAGGGAAGACGCAAAGCTACACAGAGAAACCCTGTCTTGAAAAACCAAAAAAAAAAAAACCAAAAAAAAAAAAAAAAAAAAAAAAAAAAAGGATGTTATTTGAAAAACTAAAAGCAGGCAAAGCTTCTCCATGTTTGGGAAAACAGCTTAAGTTTCGATAAACTCACTGAACCCACACTGATAAGTATAAAGAAGGGATGAGTAAGCATATCATTATTATGTGCTGGCAGTACAGGGAAAATCTTGAAAGTAGCCAAATTCAAATAAAAACCTCAAAAAGACTATACACAGGGACCAAAACCACACATGGTGAGGCTGAAAAAGTGCTTGGTAGTTAAGAGTGCTTGCGACTTCTCCAGAAGACCCAAGTTTGGTTCCCAGCTCCTATACTGGGTGGCTTACATTTTATTGTAAGCATATGGGTGATTAAGCATCCATGTATGTACATGCACCATGTGCTTGCAGTCCCTGGGGAGGCCAGAAGAGGGTGTCTGATCTCCAGACACTGGAGTTGCAGACAGTTACGACTTGCCATGTGGGTGCTGGGAATCAGATGAGTACTAGTGCTCATAACCATCTGAGCCATCTCTCCAGCCCCCATAAGTACCTAATTTAAAAAAGAATATAAATGATGGCAGGTTACCCATTAAGAATACTGGAATAGGCGGGCGGTGGTAGCACACGCCTTTAATCCCAGCACTTGGGAGGCAGAGGCAGGCGGATCTCTGTGAGTTCGAGGCCAGCCTGGTCTACAAAGCGAGTTCCAGAAAAGGCGTAAAGCTACACAGAGAAACCCTGTCTCGAAAAACCAAAAAAAAAAAAAAAAAAAAAAAAGAATACTGGAATAGAGGAGACAAAAGAACATTGCCTATCAAGCGCTCAAAACGTGAATTTTCATGTAGCAAAGAAACATCTCTCAAAACTAAAAGGAAGACAAATAGGCTGAATGCAGATGAAGGTTGCCATCAGCAGGCTGGCGGAGGAAGTGAGAGGGGAACTCACAGGGTGAAAGGCACCCGAGGGAAGGTCAGGTCCAAAGAGGAGCATGAAAAACACTAGCTGGGACGCTGGGAGGCGCCCAAGAGGGTCAAAGTATTTGCTCTGCAAACTTAAGGACATGAGTTCAAATCCCAGAAGTAAAACACAAAAAATGGAGAGCTAATCCCAGCACTTGGGAGGCAGAGGCAGGAGGATTAAAGGAATGGGATTAAAGGCATGCGCCACCACCACCCGGCCCAAGACACCCAGCTTTTTATGAGGTTCTGAGATTCCAAACTCAGGTTCTCATGCTGACATGTCTCAGTCACTTTCCTGACAGGGCCATCGCCACAGTCCCATGATATTCCTTCTTTAAAGCAGATAATCTGAATGGAGTTTCGTGTCTGTGTGTGCGCACGCACTCTCTCAAATTTCTCAAGAGCTATCCACTTCCTTTTTGAGACAATGTCTGCCTTTCATTGGCTGGCCTGGAGCTCACTGGCTAATGAACCCTCCAACTCCCCAGTGCTGGGATTATAAACCCATGCCACCACACCTGGTTTTTCACAGGGGTCTGAGGATCAATCTCAGAACTCCATGCTTTCATAGCAAGTGTTTTAATGACTGAGCCATCTGCCCAGCCTGAATTGAGGTTTTAAGTTTTTAAAATTAGTATTATATGTGTGTGTATCTAAGACTGGAAAGGAGTGGACACACACCAGTGCATGCACGCCACCGCACACAGGTCAGAGAACAACTCTGTGGAGTGGGCTCTAGGATTAGACGGGTGTTTCCCAGTTTATGCTACAAGCGCCTCCCCCAGCCATCCCTCCGGTCTCTGAGCAGTTTCAGGACTACTATATAAAATAAAGCAGTCCCAAAGAACTGAACTTCCAATATCAGAAGAACAAACAACTTTCCCAAACTAACAATCTGTTTGGTGGTCTGAGGAGGATGATATGAACCAGGGGCCGCCCCTGAAAAGGCCAGGCACACGGCTGCTGTGAACAAGGGGCCACCTGAGGTACTTTTCTCATTTTCCAAGGAAAAATACCTGTCTTAAACTCATTCCTATGAGGGCAAGTGCATCTGTGATCCTCATTACCGAGTTCCTGGCCAAGCAATTGTTCCACATCCTGAGTATCAAGTATGTCTCTGTGGCTATCATTTCCGACATTTGAGGGGCAAGCAGCTTGCTTCAAGAGCAAATCCACACTTGGGGAAAGGTAAGGTATTTAAGACGGCCTGAAAATATGAGCAAGAATTCAGGACGTAATGACTCTGAGTAGCACCGTCAGTAGCGGGCACAGTCTGGTTACCAAATAATACTCAAGGTTTCAATGATATGTTCCCAAAAAGACTGTTTAGAACATAAAAACGGGGAAAATCCAAACTCATTTTTTAAAACAAATTTCTTTTTTAAAGATTTATTTATTTATTATGTATATGCAGGCCAGAAGAGGGCACCAGATCTCATTACAAATGGTTGTGAGCCATCATGTGGTTGCTGGGAATTGAACTCAGGACCTCTGGAAGAGCAGTCAGTGCTCTTAACCACTGAGCCATCTCTCCAGTCCTTAAAACAAATTTCTATTAAAATTATACATACTTTCTTCTCTTTGTGAATATGAAACTGTGGTGTATGTGATTTATACACATGTGCATGCGTGTGTGCATTCAGAGGCCAGGAAGCGGTGGTGTTCTGAGAGCTATATATATTATATATTATATTATATTATATTATGTTATGTTATGTTACATATATATATATATATATATATATATATATATATATATATGTCACTCTCCACCTTATTCCTTTGAGACAAGGTCTCTTGCTGGACCTAGGCTGGTGACCAGTGACACCCAAAGACTCCTGTATCTGTCCCCCATAGTACAGATGTACATGTGGCCATGCTCAACTTCCTACCTGGGTTCTGGGTCTTGAACTCCGGCCTCACACTTGCGCAGCAAGTGCTCTGACCCACAGAGACAGCTGCAGCCCCTATGAATGCTTTAGCTTCAGGGAGACGCACGGCTACTAACAGTAAAAATGAACAGGACATGAAAACTCTGCTTCAAGAGACCCCCCCCCCACACATACATATATACATACATGTATTACAGATTAAGTTCTCTCTGTATAGCTCAAACTGGACTAAACCTTGCTATGTGGCCTAGTTCAGCCTTCTGAGGTCTGAGGTTACAGGCACAAGTGACCATGTCCTCCCAATCTCCAGTTTCATGAAAGAAATGAAGAAATCCTCTTCAACCTTTCTTGATTTGCTGATATGTATTGTTTAATATGTTAATTAGTATTAGTATATGTTATATAATATATATATTAAACATTGCATGTCAAACCACGAATATATATGTTTACATATATACAACTAAGCAATCAAACATAAACAATAAATAAACCTTAAAAAAGTAAGGTATCTTTTAGTATTTTTATGTAGGCTGCCCTATCCAAGTATTCTGTAACAACAAAATACATTAATAAGCAAAATTTGTTTGCTGGGATTTTAGCAGCATTTTCCCTAACTATCAGCAAATACACACCATCCTTCAAGAATGACACAGGGAGTCACAAAACAAAGTTAGTGAAATTAAAAGGAAGACAGAAGATGGGACACAATGATCAAAAATGTTAACAGTGTTTGGACTGAGTGAGGCGCCCATTACTCCTTCTGCTTTTTTGTGTATGTCTGAAATTCCCCATAATAAAAGGTTTAAATATTGGTGGAAGAAAGTTTTTAATGGCACAGGCAGTTTCATGAGGTGTTAAGGAGCATGAGGGTGGAATTAATACATGGTGTTATAGGAGGTGAATCACGCTGGGCATATTATAAGTCAATAAACGTCATCAGAGGGCTGGGAGCGCAGCTCAGTGGCTGATGGGCTTGCCTGCAAATGTAAAGCCCAGAGTTGACTCTCCAGAACCTACATAAATACCAGGTTGGTGCGGCCCAACTCCTCTAATTCCAACCTTGAGGAAAGGAGGCGGGAGCTCCCTCTCTCCCTCACTGGCTATAAAACTAGTCACATCAGCAAGCTCCAGCCTTGATTGAGAGAGCCTATCTCCAAGAGCAGAGTGGGGGGACCACTAATGATACTCTTGATATGACCCTCAGGCCTCCACAAGCCTGTGCACACATATACACCCATGGAGAAAGTCATCAGAATAAACACCTTTGGC